ACCCTGCAGGGACTTCAACTGCCTGGCTTCGTTGAATCCAGTCAAGGCCGGGGGCCCATCAGTGCGAAGCCATGGCCATGGCTGCAGATGCTTTGTGACGCCGTGTCCATGTCAGGAGAAGTTCTGGCAGTGCCACTCTGTTAACAAAATTCGCGGAGCCGCAGCCAACAGATCCATGTCATGGAGCTCGACTTATGAAAGACGGGATGTTGCAGGTCTTGTCCTTTGAATGTCCTTTGGCTTGATGCCCTGGGATGTACCGCGATGTTTTGGATCAAGGATCAAATGAATCACACATGTAGGGCTGGTTTAAAATTGACAAACATCATTTCATGGCTAAAGATTGGCTCATTGGCAAAAACGCCACTAACCTTGGGCTGAAACTTGTCGCAAGAAATTTCAAAGTCCGGTGGGAGGTCCTGTAAGGTGTGGACCTGTGCGGTGTGTGGGTTTTAGCGCTGAGTTGGAGTCTCAGATGGTCTCAGGGACAGCGCTAGAGGTATGATTGAGCAGCAGATGGATTGGTCCAAAATGATGGATGACAATGGATGACACTGATGATACCTCAGATGAGAATACTTTGGATGTCGACAGCCCGATTAGTGGAGCTACTATGAGCAGCTGAAGCAGATTCTGCATAGCTCTGCTAATTCTGCACGTTCGAGGTCAGACGACGTGACACCTTTTGAGGCAATGGCCGAGGTGATGGCGCCGAAGCTGCCCATTCAGAACCGCTCCACCATCTCTCCACGCTGCAAGTCGCCGGGGGCTCGGCAAATTCGCGCGGATAATGTGTATGCAGGTGTCATGTATCATGATGTATCATGATGTATCATGTTTGATGTGTCTAAGTGTCTAAGTATGTTTCGGTCAACATCACTTTGGTGATTGTGGAAGAGTTTCGAGGGGTTTGGTTAAGCCATGTTGAGTGTATCGCCTGTATTTTTAGGACCTCAACATTTTTACAACATCTATCGTTTTCCGATTCGACGATGTTTGCCAAGTCCAGGTCAAGCATCCTCCGTTTGGATCTTCTTTTTTTACGACCGTGCCCCTTAAGTGAGGTCTCCAATTGGCCCAAGGCGACACGATAGAAGACAGGCCCCCATGGACTTATTCCCATCGATAGAGATAACATGAGATACCATGAGATACCCGATAGTGAGATTGTATTCTGATCGATGTTCACAGTTTTATTCCGTTTCACTCAGAGTTTTTCTTATGAGGCTATGCGTGTTGTTGCTGTTGCTGTCCAAATCGTTTGACACTTTGCAGATGGACATGACATCACTCAGCAATCTCGCTGAACCGTTTCATATGGTTGTAGTGCAGCTGCGACGCCAGACAAGATGGGCAGATTATACGCCCACGTGTGGTGCGTGGCATGAAGCTCATTCCCCTTGGCCCGAAGGTCTGGCATGGCGTGGCATGGTGTGGAATCGGGATTGAGATTTGGGTGTAGGTCCCGTATAGGTCCCGTAGGTCCAGGTCATCAAGTTCCACACTGGTCTCCTAACAGTGCTACTGAAGTTTGGCTCAGAGAGAATTTTCTGATCCCGAGAGATTCGAGAGATTCGAGAGATTCGAGACGGCAGGAACGACGTATGCGGGCATCAGTTCCATGTTCCTCCAGACTCCTCCAGGCGCAGCAATACGCAGCAATGGCGCGCAAATCCCTGACATTCCACAAGTGATGTGAACATGTGAACATGTGCATGCATATGCGCACGTATATTTGCACGCAAATGACGTCAGAATGGTTCAGAGAATTGATATCTCTTCTGTGAATAAACATGAGGATATCATAGGACATCCTGAACTATCATGCGGTAGTTTACATGATAATTATAGCGTACACAAACACTGGCCTCAGATGCGCCTCACCACCTGTTGGCGTTGCTTTCTATGCCACTTCACTCCAGACCTTCAGCAGTTGAGTGAAAACACACACCGAACAACAACACTTTTGGCTTGGCGCTTGGGCAAGGTCATCTCGAGACTAGCGACGAGAGAGCTGCTTTTCTCAAGCCATGGTTTAGTCCACCATCCCATCCATCCCATCCATCCCATCCATCCCATCATGGAGATTTTTGGACCTTGGAGATTCGGTTTCCTTAGGAAACCTGTGGAGATTGAGGTCCAAATTCGTTTGACTTCCGCCGCCCTTGTTGACTGAGCTCCAAATTCATTAAATGCAGATCCGAGGCTCAGCTGTGGCCGGCCACACCAACACCATCTGGAGGCAGGATCCCCTTGGGGATCCCCTTGGGGATCCCCAAGGATCCCCCTGCATTCGATGCTCTTTTTTGATGGGTACGTGTCCAAAGAGTTCTCTTCAGAAATTGCTACTTTTCACGAAATCGGTCTCGGAAGCTTCAGATTTCACTGAGTTGCAAGGGGTGAAAAAATGTGAATGCATTTCCCCAGCTTCTAAATTTTCCTCTCTGCAGGCATTTTTTTGTGCCATGGGTGAAATGACTTGTCGGTTTCACTGACGCCATGTCGCGGCTGGCGGCCATCACTTCCTTCGGAGACTTCGGGACTGAGGTCCATGCAGAGGATGTCTCTTCATTGGGAGATTTTCTGCCAAAAGTGAAGATGACGGATATGACGGCACTTTCTGCTGGACTTCATAGGTTTCACAGTGCCAGTGACTACGCTTCGTTCTTCCAATGTGATCGTTCACATGGTCATGGTCTCCATGGTCTCAATGGTCTCAATGGTCCCGGTAGACACCTCACCGGCTTCACAGATGCCACGGAGAACCCCACAGAGAAAATCCTGCAAATGAATAGCAAAGTCATCAACATCACGGGTCGCCTGGGCGAAAAGCAACTGAAGGACGGGGGCGTTTGGACTCTCCTCCCGCCATCCTCCCTGTTCCCGTCATCAGCAGAAGATGCGCACCAAAACAACACACCATGGTAGTGAAGACCGGATGCTAGGGGATAATTCGCAGATAACAGGGCTTTGAGAAGGAACAAGTGCCTGAGTCAAGTTGGATCAACTTGAAGACTTTCTTGAGCAACATTTTGACAAATTTAGACGGATGGAAGAACACAGTCACATGATGTCACATGGCCCTCTGAACAAGCCAGATCCAAGAACATAGTCACTGGGCCCCACAAAGCCCCACAAACCCTGGTTTCATGTTGGCATCATACCTTGACTTCATACCTTGACTACATACCTGGGCGTCATCATCCAGCCCTTGACCCTTGGCCGTGAAACATCTCAGCAGGACCCGGCCACAGACTCGACTGAGTGGGAGGTGAATCAGAAGCTCTGTGAAGAGGACAAGTTGACAAAATACATCAAAATACGTTAAATGTATTTCAATTTGTTGAATTCTGAAAACGCTAGACGATATATGGACGTTTGAGGTAGAGGGTCACAATCATGAACTTGTTTTCGCGGAATGTTTTTTTTTGAAGACTTTTAGACTTTAGATATTAATATTAACTACATCACAATTCTTCAGTACTGGCAAACAAAATGGTTGATTTTGTGACGGTGGGATGTGATTGATGACTTGCGGCTTCACATGGCTTTACATGGCTTTACATGGCCATGGCTTCGCCCTGAGGATCAGTGTAAACAAAGTCGAGCTCATGTGACTGTGAAAGAGTGTGTAAAAATGGAGAAACCCAAAGGAGACCACGGTCTGCCACCGCTGCCGGAGGGTCATTGGCGGGATGGAGGAAAGGAATGTCGTTACGTCCAGATGCCTCTGGCTCTGATCCTCTCGGATCACGGGCGCTGTTTATCGGCCGCCAGTTCTGCCAACTCCATCTCCGAGGAATGCTCCGTCTCCGACTGTGGAGATGCCAAGGGCTGCAATCAGTGTTGGCTCCTGCAGCGCGCCACCGAGAACAACGTCTTCACGGGGTGGAAGCTGAAAACGGCCTGTGGTTTGACCAAAAAAGGTGTGGAAAATGGGCAGTTTTTGACGCAGGATGCGGATGGCACCTTGAAGTTCACGGATGAATATGACACCCAGCAGGATCGGCAAATCTGGAATTTGACGGAAGCCGAAACCAAACAGATGGACCCAGAGGAGTTGAATACCGAGATTTTCAAGAAACCCTTCATGCTGGAAACTTAAGACATCCTTTGGCATACTTTCTTGCTGTATTCTTGAGATGTTGATATTGAACCGTATTAATCGTATTAGATCTTTTGCGCATGATTGAAATAATATAGATATACCCTCTGGTAAACTAACATAGCTATTGGAAATCACCATTTTTAATGGGAAAACTCACTATAAATGGTGATTTTCCATAGCTATGTTAAATTACCAGAGGGTAGTGTGTATTTTTGTATTACTTCCCGCAGAAGCCAGGTCAAGTATAGGATCATAGGTTTTCTTGTCCTTTCCAAATGTCCAGGTGCAAGTACTATTTTAGTCTTGCGGTGTCGAGTCTAAGGAAAATTTGGCATCGAAGCGGTTCCTTTTGCAAGAGAAACCTCAACTGGATGATGATGCTGCAAAGACAGATCCGCTCAATCAGGACATGGCGAACCTACCCGACAAGGCGCTTCAGAACAAATATGATATATGTACACATAATGCACACATAATGTACACATATTCTGTACGTGAGAGCCCGCTGCAGCTGTTTCCTGGTCACAATTGTGGACGGATGAGTCTGCTTCTTTTCATTGACCCTTGTCACTTATAGTAATCGTTGGTCATATCATCTATGCACTCAAATAAGTCTATATCCCACGTCATCTCTGCGCAGGAGAACATGCCAGAGTCCTTCAAGAACGATACAGCTGAGGCCAACTCCCAGACGATTGTCCGAAAGAAACAGTGGAGACGTTCCTTTTGGCGAGGGGTTGAAAAAGCGGGAAGTACATATTTACAAGGAGAAATGATGCGGGCAGATGGAGATTCTGTACCAACCTTCAATTATTTGTCTGCCAGTCCAGACAAAGGCTTTGATTCTACGAAACATTTACGAGCTGAAGAACTCTCAGATGATTGTAATGATCGCTGGAGCTTCGTGCACAAAGATCGCGGTTTTGAGCTGAAAACCGCTTGCGCGAAGCCCAAATACTTGGTAGCTTTGAACAACGGTGATGGTCCCGTGGCCTTCCATGATGAGCCATATCCAGGCCCTGAAGGCAAGTGGAATGTGCGCTTTGCCAAGCCGCCACCACCAGAACCACCCGTGAATGAGGAAGCAGAACCTGTCTTGCCGTTGCCGAAAGAAGTTCCATTGGAAGTGGAAGAAGAAGCTGCGAAAGATCCAGAATCCAGTGGAGCAGCCTTGGAGATGGTTCAGGAAGGTGATGCTCAGAAAGCAGTCGAAAATCTGACAGAGAATCTGTCAAACCAAGGCTGACGCACAACTCCAAGCGCTGGAAAAGGGTGAAGTCGGACTGTTCAAAGCTTGTCAAACAACATTTTTCTCCAACAGCGTAAGCTAATGGGGTCTTCAGCCCTGAATAGCTCTGGTGTGCACTGGTGCAGGCGCCGGGTCAGGTTCAGCGAGGTTCCGGAGAAGGTTCCGAAGGTTCCGGAGAAGGTCTCGGAGAAGGTCTGGGAGGCTTTGGTGCAGAGCCAGGTCAGGTTCAACAGGGTTCCGGAGAAGGTTCCGGAGAAGGTCTCGGAGAAGGTCTGGGATGCTTTGGTGCAGAGCCAGGTCAGGTTCAAGAGGGTTCCGGAGAAGGTTCCGAAGGTTCCGGAGAAGGTCTCGGAGAAGGTCTGGGAGGCTTTGGTGCAGAGCCAGGTCAGGTTCAACAGGGTTCCGGAGAAGGTTCCGGAGAAGGTCTCGGAGAAGGTCTGGGAGGCTTTGGTGCAGAGCCAGGTCAGGTTCAACAGGGTTCCGGAGAAGGTTCCGGAGAAGGTCTCGGAGAAGGTCTGGGAGGCTTTGGTGCAGAGCCAGGTCAGGTTCAAAGGGTTCCAGAAGGTTCCGGAGAAGGTCTCGGAGAAGGTCTGGGAGGCTTTGGTGCAGAGCCAGGTCAGGTTCAACAGGGTTCCGGGAGAAGGTTCCGGAGAAGGTCTCGGAGAAGGTCTGGGAGGCTTTGGTGCAGAGCCAGGTCAGGTTCAACAGGGTTCCGGAGAAGGTTCCGGAGAAGGTCTCGGAGAAGGTCTGCGAGGCTTTGGTGCAGAGCCAGGTCAGGTTCAACAGGGTTCCGGAGAAGGTCTCGGAGAAGGTCTGGGAGGCTTTGGTGCAGAGCCAGGTCAGGTTCAACAGGGGTCTGGAGAAGGTTCCGGAGAAGGTCTCGGAGAAGGTCTGGGAGGCTTTGGTGCACAGCCAGGTCAGGTTCAACAGGGTTCGGGAGAAGGTTCCGGAGAAGGTCTGGACAAGGTTCCGGAGAAGGTTTTGGGAATCTTTGGTGCAGGGCCAGGTCAGGTTCAACGGGTTCCGGAGATCAGAAGGTTCCGGAGAAGGTTGCAGATAAGGTTTCGGAGAAATTTGTTTTTCTTCTTTTTGTTTTCATGCGTGTGCACACTGCGTACATGTAAAAATAAAACGTTGCGGCTGTTGGGGATACCACCGAAGCTTATTTTCTTGGTGTCCCAACTTGCACTGAAATTTCCACAGGATGAGCAAAGCATCCAGCTATTGGGGCACCCCCGTATACCCCAAACAGAAATCTGGTGAAACCAGACTTACTAATCACTTGGGATTCCTGGGATATAGGACCCCAAGTCATGAACAACCAGAGTTTCTGGAGAGGTGTTTATAGGACCAATCCACCGACCAAGTGTGACTGATGGTTCCGAAGAAATCGAAGGCTATCATATCATCCTGTCAATTGAGAAAACACAGTCATCTATGAATCAATGAATGTAGTTTTGACAAACTTTGGGCTCCAGTGCGCAGTGGTTATTTTCAGCGACCTCGTCATGGCAACCCTCCGATACTTCAACACCTTCATTGATGAGGAACCAATTGGGAATCTCCTTGAATCTCGTTCCAAGAGCTGGCCACAACTTGGTGGCACGGGACATGCTACGGAGGAGATAGAGAAAAAGGAGACACAAGCTGCCAACTATGTTGCTGAGTTGCAGGGCAAATGGAGCACCACCTTTGGTGAACGGCAGTCCCCGATGTCCCCGAAACCACAGCCGACTCGCTCGGCCAACAAAGGCAGCCGTGGTCATCCAGTAGTGTGCCGCCGGCCTTGCATCCGCTTCGCGAAGGGAGGCTGCGAACTGGGAGATGCTTGTGGCTATTGCCACCATGAGCATCCTGGCTATGTAGCCCCAAACAAACGCCAGCGGGTTAAGTTGGACTACATGGAACCTTGGTCTCTTTTGCTTTGTTTCTTGTTTGTTGCTGCACATTGAAGCGCAGTATAAATGTGGGATGCCCCCCGAAAATCTCAGTAACATTCCACAACTGTGCGATCTGGTAGCCTGGTAGCCTTGAAGGATGCCAAGGAATGAGTCGATGTTGTCTTGCAAACTCAGCCTAGAAAATATATCTCCACGAACAGACTGTGTGTTTCATGTTGGGCTAGTCGGTCATCGATCCACATTGTTCCAAGTGTTTTTTGTGCTTTTCTGCCCAGACGACTTCGTTCTGATATTTTTTTGACTTCCAATCCGTATACTACAATAGCATCCAACTTGGTCAATCAAAGCGCCTTTGCCGCAAAGAGATTGGCAGTCGTCAGGAATCAGAAAGCAATGGAAAACACTTCAAAACGACACTTCAAAACAAGACACCAACACGGCTTTATCGTTTACACTTGTTGAACAGAGCAAACATCATGCACCCTTCACCCAGAAAATTTGCCTGGAGGATTTTCACCGTTTTGTTTGTTTTTTCGTGTTTTTGAGGAGACAGGCGAACTTCTGGCGGTGCTCTTGCCACATGTTCGTCGTTCTATTGAAGTGGCCCAGATTGAAGCTACCAACATCATTGAGATGCTGGAAGGGGAAGTCGGTTCAACCCAGGCTCCCAGTGTGGATCGGACGCTACATAGGACCTTGAGACAGATGCCTCTATCAGCACTTCTTGGCTTGATCAAGCCGAGAGATGATGCCTTTGGGGCCTTGCTGGAACAAGAGATCGAAGTGCTGCACTGCCGTCTGGGCTGAACATGGTCCTCTGAGCGCAGCAGAAACGAGCTGGCTCAAGGGCTGCAGTGCCGGAGGGCAGTTTGTGCCGCTGAATGTGGCTCAATCTGCCAGTACATTTTTGAAGCCGCAACAACATGTGCCTTGAAGTTCCAGCTGGTTGGTTCTGGTCGGTTTCAACTGACTTGTGAGTATCCATTTGTATTCATCCACTTTCAGAATGGTAAGACTATGATCTCAATTGAATTTGTGCCCCCAGGTTGCAGTTTCAGACTGGTTGCGATGGCATCAAGGTGTTCCAACGATTCTCATTGATTGAATCAATAGGGGCATTTTGAGTATTCTCAACGATTCTCATGCTATTTCCTAACATTTCTTTGATATCGCTGGTTGTCCAGACTTTGGCTCCAATTCCTGGTCTTCGAGGCTTGCGCTTGTTGTGCTGTGTTGTGGCCGAGCTCCGATTCTCGAAGAGTATCCGATGTCCATCGGCTCCCACGGAACTTGGGAGGATCCATGATATCCAACTTTCAGTCTTTATCAAGTGGCAAATATGATCAATAAATTGAAAACATGATCCCTCCAAGTGGTGATTGGATCCATCTGCTTCCGTCTTGGGATGTGCTGTGCAGCACATGGGATTCGCTCGAACAAGAGATCGAAGTGCTGCGCTGCCGTCTGGGCTGAACATGGTCCTCTGAGCGCAGCAGAAACGAGCTGGCTCAAGGGCTGCAGTGCCGGAGGGCAGTTTGTGCCGCTGAAAGTGGCTCAATTTCTTGAAGCTGCCACATTGTGTTGTGGCAGAGCTCGGTTTCTCGAAGAATATTCGATGTCCATCGGCTCCCACGGAACTTGGGAGGATCCATGATATCCAACTTTCAGTCTTTATCAAGTGGCAAATATGATCAATAAATTGAAAACATGATCCCTCCAAGTGGTGATTGGATCCATGTGCTTCCGTCTTGGGATGCGTGCAGCAGATGTTGCTGTATCTTGAAGATTCTTTCGCTTGTGCACACTGCATACATGTAAAAATAAAACGTTGCGGCTGTTGCGGATACCCCCGAAGCTTATTCTCATACAGACGTCAGACGTCTTTGTATACGCATTGTAGCCCATTTGACACATGATTTGATGAACTTCGATCTTTCTTTGCCATCACTTGTGACCAGGTGGAACTGGATATGGCTTTGGAGTCATGGAACGGCCTGAGACCCAAGACTAAGACGGAGACTTTGCAAAAAACAGCATTCAGGGGATTGGCAGTGGATTTCGATTTTGGTAATCATGTCTTCACACGAAAGATGTATCCTTTTTCCTGTTTTCCACAAATGAATGTTTTTTGATGTTTTTTGACATTGTCAGCGACATTGTCATATTTACATCTTTTTTCCCTATGTGATTCGGTAGTAATTCACCATTGTCCCCAGATGTTTCACCGTATCATGACATTCACATTACCATCTGAATAGATGTTTGTCCCATGGGATGCCAACGGTCCGAAACGATCCGAAACGGTTTTTGATGCCAAGGTCCTCCGAAACGCATCACGGCCTCTCAGGACTGGCATGTTGCGACACCGCTGAGATATGGTTGGGATACGAACTCATGAAGATCATGAAGTTATCAGCCATCACTGCCATCACATAAGATCACATCATTCTATTAATATGACCAATAATCGATAACTGGTTGATGGAGTTACATATTGGGATTTGAAATGTATCCCCACTGGTGCCTTAGGGTATAGGTGTTGACTAATGTTGACTTCGTTGACTTCGGCAACCACACAAACAGACAACAACTTTGAAGAAAAAAACAACTGTGAGACGGAACTGTTTCCAGAGATTTCTTGGGCGGGGATCTCTGGAAACTACACAACCACAACCACTAACACGACTTCGAAGAAATGTCGCCTACAACTGGCAATGGATGGACGCGTTCAGAACCGGACGAGAAAATTCTTGTTCTGATGGTTGGAACAATCAGCAAGACAACACCTGCGACCTCCAATCCTCCAATCCCAACATCATCCAACATCTATCCATTGAGGAAACCCAAGAAATCCCAAGAACATGACCGCAAACTATGTGACTGATTGCGGGTACAAGCGGTTGAATTGCTTGATAAGTGGATTTAGAATGAATTTAATAATTGGTGATGTTCAATGAATGGTTCACTCAATAGATGACCGACGAATGTGAGACAGAAAGAAAACGGCTGGAGAATGAATTGAATGTTACTTGAATGTCAAGTTTGAATGTCAATTTTCAATGTTAAGTCAAGTGAACGGAACAGTTGTGAATTGCTGAAGCGGGGAGGCGACACGCATGGGCACGCTGCGCACGCTGCGCACGCTGCGCATCTGCATCCACCCACGCGAGTGGCGCACCTGGGTGCTGACCTTGGACGTCAGCTGACAAAAACCATGACAAAAACCATTGCCATTACGACTCGGTATATTGAAACACATCGTATGATTTTGAAACATATTGAAACACCTGGAGTAGGCCATACTAGTGGAGACATGCAATGTTTCTACGATTCTACACTGATACATAATGCCAGGCTCATTTCAATGAGCTTAATGAGCTTAGGTACAAGAAATAGCGAAACTAGTGGAACATTGTGGAACTCTTTGACTGGAGAAACTGATTTGAGAAGTGACTTCGGAACTGGTTCCAGTGATCAAGCTGGATCACGTTTCAAACACATTTGAATGATTTGGAATGATTTTGACTTTTTGACATTTCCGCATCGCCGCCACTCAGCTGCAGCCGCCGCACATGCAGCTGCAGGCAAGACAGTGATCCAAGTTCGGATTTGTTCAAATGTGGCGAATCATTTGATGAATCGTTCAATGAAACGTTTGAAGAAGTGTTTGGTAGAAGCGTTGAAGTTTTGACTCTGTCGCGAATCTGTTTGACTTTTTGTGCCGATATCGTTCCTCTGCCAGCTGCAAAAGTGACTGTGGAGAAGGCTGAGAAGGTCGATAAGGTCTGGCCACACCGCCACATCCGGTACATTTTGATCTCGAACGGTGTAGAATGGACAATCACCAAAAAGATCCAAAAAGCTTTTCCGAGTCTGCTTCAAAGGGACTTCTGTGTGATTTTGCTTCGTATGATATATTTCGTATATGTTGGTTATATTATGTTATATTATGTTATATTATTATATTGTGTAATTCATGTAATTATTACAACAGATTCTCATACACTATGCAAGCAATGCAATGCAAAGACACAGGATTGGTGCCAGGTGAAGCTGGGAATCGAAGCGCTGAATGGCTTGAACGACGCTGCCGTGCACGCGCACGACGTGGCCACTGCAGCGCTGGATGAGGTGAAAGAGGCCATTCTCGATATGATTTTCGATGTGATTTCTGTGGAAACGCCGTGGAAATGAACAGCTGAGCAGCTAAACAGCTGTGATTTCCATGCGAAAGCGGGGCGCCTCACATCCCAATTCCTCTTCGGACTGTGCAGGTGAAGACGCTGCCCGACTCTCAGATGTGGAAATGAAGAATACGATGTTCAACGACTCAAAGAGTAAGCATCAGAAGCATGAGTATGAAAAAGGCGAATCTGCATTTCACATTCGGCAGATTCATTTTTGTTCCTCTTTCAAGGCGACCTGTTGATGCTGAGGTCGAAAGACGACAAAGCAGTTGCCTCAATTTGCAACGTATGAGAGAGAGATATATATATATATACGGTTATATTCGTCAACATTCCTGGCAAATGTATTTGGATCTCCACATTGTTGGCTGGCTCGTCCATTTTTTCCGCTGCTTTCCACGACGTTCCACGATGTTTGTGAGGTTTTGCCTTCCAAAGGTTCTGCCACACATGGAAGCGGCAAGCTGGACTCTCAAACTTGGTGATTTCACAGATATTTCACAGATGTGTTGATCGAATGATCGAATGATGATCGTCCAAGGTGCCGGCCATGTGCTTGGTACTGGAAGCCTCAGGCGCAGCATAGTCGATCAGCGTCGATGTTGTCAATGTGCAGTGACACTCAGTGACACAGTGTTTCTTGATGTTTCTTGATGTTTCTTGATGTTTCTTGATGTTTCTTGACGTTTCTTGACGTTTCTTGATGTTTCTTGTTTTGGCATTGGCAGCTCTGTGTTGCAGGGCTGCCAGAATGACAAGGACATCAGGTCTTTTCATGTATTATAGGTATTTCGATTGTTTCTTCAGCATCAGACAACACTTGGCAAATCTCTGCCGCGAATGTATCTTTCTTTGCAAATGAGTCAAGACTCTAATTGATGTCAGCATATTGTAACCACTTCTTGGGGGCAGGACTGTGGATATTGCCACTTGTGCCCAGAGGGTGAATTGAAGAACCGGAAGAAATCCAAGGCCGGGCCAAGGGGCCATGGGGCCATGGGGCCATGGGGCCATGGGGCCATGGGGCCATGGGGCCATGGGTGCAAGGGCAAGGAGGTATCCGGTATCGGAGGTGTCGAATCAAATATGATTACAGAACATTACAGATTCTGAAGTGAACATACAAATCGTAGTCTAGAGTCTAGACTTTATGATATTTTATGATATTTTATGATATTTCATGTCATATATTATGTTTTTTTTCTGCTGTTCAGCCAGGTAGCACGCTTTGAGCACAAACCCATTCAAAAACTTCCTTTTGCAGATGCAGTAACCAAAAAAGTGCGACTCAGCAACCAAGAGTACCCGCCAGCAAGTTTTCACCTCGCACCTAAGCAGAAACCAACGATGATTGAGGCCCACCGTATCAAAGACTGCCCCCGGGTATTTGTTAGCTGCTAGCTACATTTACAATGGAGGGCATGGATGGCGTGGGGGACATCAGGTGGATGATCCTGGATGGGGTTTCAAGCACCGGCAAGCAGCAGACTCTGCAGGTTGCTGCCATGCGGATGGGCGCTTTGGTTCCAGCATCAAAGCTGCTCGATCGGAGGAAGTTTTTGTGATGGATTGATGTTGCCATGGGGCTGCCACATGCTGCCACGTTGTTCATACTTGATACGCATCCATGAAGACAAAATCTATAAATCCGCGTGCTCAGTGCAAGAAAGGGTCATTCATTGGCTCGCCAGTGCACGAAATATCTTCAAAATCGATATCGGGTCCTCTAGATCACAGCAGAGCACAGCATATCACAGCCTTTGACCATCACGAAGTTGCGACTGTAGAGTTCGAGGTTCGTCACTGGTTCAGCACCGTACACCTTCAAGTTCCCACCGTGTTTCACCGAATGCTGAGCATGCACAGCACCAAGGACGCACAAGACCAAGAGCTACTCCGGCGCCCGGGTTTTGAAGCTCTCGCCTTTGCTCTGAGAGCATCGTCATAAGCGAGAGAACACGACATCCGCATGAAATGCGCACAACATCCGGAGCAAAAATCGGCACCTGATCTGCCCTCTGTTCCACGGTGGCGTCTAGGCAACGATTCCTAGGCACCAAACCGAACCGATTTCGCCCTTTAACTTTTTGCAGACCGCCTGAGACTTCCGACTTGTTCCCACTTGCACTCATTCTCTGAGCAAGATGCTGTGTTGCACCATGTTGCACGAAGTGGAAACATGCAAAACAAGGATAATGAAGTCGTTTTTCAGCTCTGAAATCCCAGGTTTGGGTCTGTGTTTTAGCATTTTAGCATAGTCAGCGTGGCATCGTTGAGAATTGCTGTAGTGCAGTGCATGTTGAATCTTTAAGATGCACCTGGAATTCGTCCCGCCCCAAGAGCAGCACAAGCCCTCTTGACCAAACCAGTGGCTGGAGAAATGGAAAAGGCATGCAGATTTCCTTCCCATGGGTTTCTAACGTGGTGTCATTGTGATGGGATGGATGGTACCATGGCTGATTTTTTTCTTTCAACTTAATTACTTCAACTGGCTGATGTTTGATGGATTGATGATGGATTGTATGCAGATCTCCATAGCGATGTCCAACATCTTGGCTCTAGAGCTGTGAGATCTAAGAAAAGGGTCCCAGGGTGCGCGACGCTTTGGGAGGTGGGGCTGCTGAGCTCTTTCGAGTGACTTTCAAGCGCCAGAAGCTCTTGCACAACTCATACAAAGGAAACCAAAACATTCAAATGCTTTCAAGATGAATGAAGAGATTTAAGAGTTGGATAGAGTTGGTGGCTTGAATTAGGACCCTTTTGAGCACCATGAGCCGCAGGCATGGCGACGTCCAAGCCGGTGGTTCGACAAGTTGACATGGAGGCATCCTGGAGTTGCAGCTAGTTGATGGTGTCGCGCCTGTAAACCTGCCGTCCATCTTGACACATTGTTTGCATATGTTTGACATATCTCGTTCCCACGATAGAAACTGCAGCTGATAGTGCGGGCTTTTTCACATCATTCTTTTAAAGCCAAGTATAGGTGTCTTTCCCTGTTGTTTTCACAGGCCGACATGCTCCAGTTTGCGTTGGACCGGACCATGTGCCCATGGGTCATTGTTGGTTGGCAGTTGTCACCCATGGGTTGGCCTTCGTCAAACTTTTCAGACCTTGGCATGCCAGGCTTTGTCAAAGAAGTTGTTGAAAGCTGCATCCGATTTCTTGGCTCCACAGCGTTTCACTCCTAGCTCGAACACATAAGCAAGCTGACCACAGAGGACGACAATTTGGAACGGATAGCGGTCTTCACTGCGAACGGAACGTCCTTTCCATTTGTGGGATAAATGATGATATCATGATGATAAATCGATATAAATGCTACAAACTCAACAACTCCAAATCTTAACCAAAAAATGCACCCGTTCCACAGAGCTGCACTTGTTGATGCGGGAATCTGTCCAGTCGCAATGAGGGTGAAGCCACCATGACACAGGTGCGTCACCAGTTTTCAAGATATGTCATGAATGGCCATGGCATACATCGGCATACATGGGCATACCACGACTTTCTGGAATCCATTGATTGATCATTTGAATTCCATTTGAATTCCACGTCAGGCAGAATCTTCTGAGGTGCCTTGTGGCACTTGTAATGCTGCTCTGAATGCTAACAATTTTGAGAGGAGAAGCGCAAGGAAACAGACTTGACCTGACTTGACCAACGTCAACTATAGATAACTAAAGTGTTTATAGATTTTTTAGTTGCAAGGAGTTGTGAGAGCATGCCATTTCAATCTTTGCACAGAAGCGATCTATTCGGCTGCAAAGTCTCTCTGGTGGCCTCGCCCTCAGTGTGTCAGTGTGTATTACACAACAGAGAGAGGGCAATCCACACAATCCTCTTGCATATATTTTGCATATTTTGCATGTCGACAAAATCCTGTTCCAGTCTCTTTTTTTTTGTTTTTCTCGATGTCCCTTTCCGTGAGTAAAAGATCTTCAGATAGCACCCTGAAAAGCCCTTTGGAGATTCTGAGATAGTCTGAGTGTCACCCCCTCCTGCTTATGATCTTCAGACGCACGTTGGTGGTTTAGATGTTCCGGCCGAGATTTCCCTTTTTGTTGTGCCCGTGCTCCTACTTTTTCAATCCACCCAAGCACAAGAAAATCTCTTCGCAATCTTTGCCGTCCTCACTCCTCTTCACTTTTGGGAGTCTTGAAATGTACCATATGAAAAGCGTAATCCTTTTGGAATCTTCGAAATAGCCAGGTTTTCACAACGAAAGAGTCCTTTTCATCCACTTCCTCTCATTGGATTTGGAGGCAATTCCTCAGGGAGAGAGCCTGGCAGCCCGGTTGAGAGTCTAGGGGACAAGAGGAAGGAGGCTTTCTTCAAGGCCGGCCTCCGGAGGAATTTTGGGCCATTTGTCCGTTTGAACACTTCCATTACTTCCATTGTTCTGATCTTGGAACAACTCAACAGAAAGTTCAACATGCAAAGAGAATGAAAAGAACAACAAAGGTTGAACATTAGCAATAATATATTATATAAATTATATATTATATGTAATATATATTATATATATATAATATATATATACCCAGGACTTCCTGGTCGTGGTTTAACCATGATCCATCACAACGTTGTGGTTTTACCAGAATCCATGCTTATATTATGATCTAAGGAATAACTCATCATTTCATGATGCTGGCTGCTATTCCAAAGTTATCTGATGTTCTGAAAGATATCACCTTTAGCTGAATTTAGCACAAATGTGTGGACTGGTGGTTTTAGCAGCCGTGATCACACCGTGAGATAACCGTGAGACCCTCCCTGAACGTCGTGATTTTGTGTATTGGCGTCAAGGTTTTACCGTGAGCCAACCGTGAGCCAACCGTGAGCCAACAGTGACTAACGGCTACCCTGTGTGTGTGTCTGGTGGTATAGACACGAGAATGGTGATTGTGAAGCAGACATTTTACTTGATCAACATGTGTTTTAATTCATGAACATGAGAATTATGATGATAAAATCTATACCTTAATTTGGCGATGTATGCACGTCGTGGTCTTACCGTGTCTTTCGTGTACCTCGTGGTTTAACTATGTCTTTCGAAGTCCTGGGTATATAATATATGTTAAGAACCAGCACCCTCTCACAACATCAGTTGTGCCAATGTACATATGTGCAACATCTTGGTTCAACAAGGCCTTGAGCCCATTGTATGCCAACAGACAAAAGGCGCGTACAGCAACAGCTGCAACAGATTGACAACAGGCTGCCTTGTGATTTCACATGGTAGCGGAGCAGTGATCCTGGAAGCATCCAGGTGAGCTCCAACAGGCAGAGGGCTTGATCCCAGAACACTGGGGGACCCTCAACAACAAGGATGGCAACGGCGTATGAGATAGGATCGCCAACAGCAGGAGAAACACAAGCAGAAGCCCTAGCATCAACACACAGGCTGAAGTTGAAACCTCCAACATACGATGGAAACTACGCAACATTCGAGGAATGGAAGTACAAGTTCTCAGCATACATGGGCCTACAAGACAACATCTTTCCACAACTGCTGTCAAGAGCAGAAAGAGCAGCAACGGTGCTCACTGATGCAGAGCTGCTTGGAGCAGCAACAACAATAGAGGAAGGAGAGAAGTGGACACAACTGTGCAACAACCTCAAATACATCCTTATCAACATCACCAGCGGTGCAGCAGCAACAGTTTGCAGACAATACCAAGACGCAATGTGCCTAGACGTCTACAGGCAACTGTGCAACAGGTTTGCAATACCTGTTGGAACAAGAAGCATAGGCTACCTCACAAAACTACTCAAGCCAACTTTCGACACCAACAACTTTGAGGAGTCCTTCTCAACATGGGAATTTGAGCTTGCACGTTACGAGCGTGACAACAATGCACAACTACCAGACCAAGTGAAGATAGCAGTTCTCATGAATGAGACAAAAGGACCACTCCAACAACACTTACACCTCAATGCCAGCGCAACACCAACATATGCTGAAGTGAGGACAACAATCATGGAGTACTACAGAACCACAACTGCGTTCTCAAGACTTCAACAACAGTCGTCTTCAGCAGTCAGCAGCAACTTAGGAGGAGGCCCAGCTCCAATGGATATTGGAGCAACATACAAAGGCAAAGGAAAAGGAAAAGGAAAGAGCAAAGGAAAAGGATTCAACAAAGGAGGTCACAAAGGAAAAGGATACCAACAAGGAAAAGGCTACGGAGGCTACGGCAGTTACAACAAAGGAAAGGGCAAAGGAAAACAACAGCAATGGTATCAGCCAAAAGGAGTAGAGAAAGGAAACAAAGGAAAGTCGAAAGGAGCTCACAACAAAGGAAAAGGAAAGAATCCAACAGCAATATGCTACAGATGTGGTCAACAGGGCCACTTGGCAAAGGATTGTCGAACAGCGGTGTACAACATGGCAGAGACACCACAGGAACAGAACCAGGATGGAACATCCCAATGGTATGACCCAAACAGTGGGTACGACAACTACTGGTACAGCAACGACCAGTCAGGCAACTACAATATCCAGCCAGTACAACAACAACAACAACAACAAGAAGCTTTGCCAGCGCCACAAACCAACACGCAGACACCAACAATACAACTTGTGGGAGCACTGGGCCATCAGGCAGCAAGTGCCCACAATGAAGCAACCACCACAGCTCAAGCAGTGCAGCAGCAGAGAGGAGACAACGAGGTGGATATTATGATCGACAGTGGAGCAGCAACACACGTTTGCCCAACATGGTTTGGACCAGACACACCACTGTATCCACTACAACATGGACAAGGACCTAGGTTGAGGACAGCAACAGATGAGGATATCCCAGTGCATGGCTACAAATGGGTATACATGCACAACACCAACAAGCAAACAATAGTTGTTCCCTTCTATGTGTGTGATGTGACGCAACCCATCATGTCAGTAACGCGACTGGCAGAACAAGGGTTCAACACACAACTCAACGAAACACCAACAATCACACACACACCAAGGGATTCAACTCAGCACTCAAACAACGAGAAGGCCTATACTTCTTGCCAGTTGTGCTGATCACACTCCCAGCCAACTTGAGGCTTGAAGTCAACCAAACAGCAGAAGGAACAACAGCAAGAATAGCACCAGTCACACTGACTCCAACAGGCATGGAAGTCCTTCGCAACAAGAATGACCTATGGACATTCAACAGCCAAGGTTTCTTGGTAAGAGTCCACAGAACAACACGCAAGGCATTGTTCATGCCAGACAGCAGATGTCCAGTTCCAACAGAAAGGTTGGAGAATTACAGAAGAACAATCATACAAAGACCAAACAACAACACAGAAGTCATCGAAGAAGCATACCAAGACCTCGACAAGAAGCAACAGAAGAGGATTATACAAGGAAATAACTGGACAGGAGAGACATGGTTCAAAGTGAAACGTGGAACAATACTTCCAGGCAACATACCACCACAACCAACATTTCCACCAGCCAAAGAGCCAGCGACACCATCTCAACAAACAATAGTTGACCAACCACAAGCACCAATGTATCGACACAACGTGAAGAAGCCTCTCACAGAGGTAAGGCCAACAGGTCAAGCAATGACCACAACGCAGCCATATCAGACAGCAATTCCACATCCAAAGGAAGTCAGTCCAACACAGGACTATTGGATCAAGGAAGGTCCATATTGGAAACGTGTGCATGTCCAACCAAGAAGGGACATGTACATTCCACAACAAGCAGATGATGGACCAGACGTGACAAGACTGACAAGATGGAGACAAACAATTGTGAAGCCAACAAGTGGCAACAGAGGATATAGAATAGATGATGACTGGACGACAAAGAGGAAAGCAACACTCGACATAGAGTGGACAGGCTCAACAAACTTTGAAGAAAACGCAGCATACCAAGATGAGTTCATCACAGATGAGCCAGAGGAGCAACAAGAAGCCAAGAAAGCAAAAGGAGTGCCAACACCACAACAACCAACAGAACAAGAAAGAAGAGAACACGAGCTCACACACCTTCCCTACAGAAGCTGGTGTCCAACATGCGTACAAAGCAAAGGAAGACAGGACAATCATCCAAAGCAAACAAGCAAAACACCAGTGATCCAAGTGGATCTGATGTACTACAAAGCACTAGGAGAAAAGCAAACAACATCAGTCCTTACAGCAGTGGACGTTGAAACAGGCATGTGTATGGCAGTCCAACTTGAGGACAAGACACAACACGTACAATACCTGTCAGTCTGCCTTCAACAATTCCTGATGGAATGTGGCAGAACACATGCAATTCTCAACAACACCGTTCTTCAATCAGACCAGGAAGACTTTATCATCTCCTTGCTCAAGATGGTGGCAACAGCTATGGGTAGCAACATAGCAGTCAGGCAAGCACCAGCCTACACATCACAAGCACAAGGAAGCGTTGAACGTTTCCACAGAACATTGATGGGCCAAGTCAGAGCCCTCAAACTCCAACTGGAGACCAACTATGGCATCAAGCTCAACAGCAAGCATCCCATCATGCCGTGGCTTGTCAAACACGCAGCATACCTGCTCAACAGGTATTCCATCCACTCAGATGGAAACACAAGCTACTATAGACGATGGGGCAAAGAACACAAAACACCAATATGTGAATTTGGTGAAACAGTTCTCTACATGCTACCAACAGCAAAGCATATGCCAAAGATGTAAGCAAGGTTCTACCCAGCCATCTGGCTAGGTAAGGAGAACTCAGCAAACGAGAACATACTTGGCATTAGCAGCAAAGTGGTCAAAGCAAGGACCATAAGAAGACAAATAAAGCCAGACAAGTACAACAAGCAGTTGATGGACATCATCAACTCTTCGCCAGCCATGATACCACCAACAACACCAAGCATTGTGGTACTACCACAAACTGCTGCAGCAAAGCAGCAGACAACAACAAGCACACAGACTCAGCAGAGTCCACAACCAAAAGCCTCGGTACAACCACACACTACAACACCACCAGCACTTACAGACCTTCCAATGGCAACAGCGCCAGCAACTCAGCAAGCAAAGCAAGCACTTCCAATGCCAACACAAGGCAAGAGAGAAGTAACAGACGAGATTACACAAGGCAGCTCACCAAAGCAAGCAAGGACAACAGAAAGAGCCACAGCAGCCAGCCGACCTGACACGGCTCAGGAGCCACCAACAACAAGGATGAGGATCTCACAAGTCACAGTCACAACGAAGAAAGGACAGAAGATAGAAGCAACCTCCAACGAAGATGAACAGGAGATACAAGCTGAAAAGATTCTCCTGGAACCTTGGGTGAACAACACCGAAGGTTTAGACAAGGAACAAACAATAGAAGGAATGAAACAAGAAATCAAGTCAATGAAGGAACAAGGTGTATATACAGAAGTACACATCAGCCAACTCACCCCAGAACAACGCAAGAAGATCATCAAGTCAAGATGGGTTCTTCGACAGAAAGGCAACACAGTTCGAGCACGAATTGTAGCAAAGGGCTACACAGAGGAGATCAATGACAACGACGACATCTTCGCGTCAACACCAATCTTCTGCGTTCTGAGGATGCTACTCGTCTTAGCACTTTGCAACAACTGGATCTGCCTCACAGGAGACATCTCAACAGCCTTTCTACATGCCGCAGCAGCAACAGCAGATCTCTTTATGTATCCACCAGCAGAGTTCTACAACGCCGTCGATCAAATCGTTTGGCGACTCAACAAAGCCATCTATGGCTTACGCAGCAGCCCAAAAGCATGGCAAAATCACCTGGCTGAGGTGATGCAACAACTTGGACTACGACGACTTGTCAGCGAGCCCAACGTTTACGTAACACCACAGGGAGATGCATACATACTATGCTACGTCGACGACTTGCTCTTCATCGGACAACAGGAGACGGTCAACAAGCTGTTCAAGAGCATCCAGCAACACCTCCTACTCCGTCCGACAGGAGAACTCACAGTCGGCAACACCATCAGCTTTCTGGGCAGAAACATCTGCAACAAGGGTGACTACTATGAGATCAGTCTCGCGGACAGCTACACGACAGAGCTGTTAGAAGAAGCCAACATACCCAACTGCAATCCAGCACCAGCACCAGGCACTAACACTCTGAAAGCAACATCGGAGATGGAACAAGAACTCAGCAAAGAAGAACATGCAGCCTATCGAAGGATGGTTGGCAAGCTACAATGGATGACCTACACAAGGCCAGACATTGACTTTGCAACAAAGGAGCTTGCAAGAGCACTGACACAGCCAACAACAGCAGACCAGCAGAAACTGAAACACTTACTCAGGTACGTCAAGGGAACACAACATTACAAACAATACGTGAGACCTACAACTAAGACACCAACAGCTGAAGCAGTACCAGACATCCAAGTCTTTGTCGACAGCGACTGGGCAGGATGCGCAACTACAAGGAAGTCAACAACAGGATTTCTAATCAAAGTCTTCGGCGCAACAATCCACTACGGAAGCAGAACACAGGCAACAATTGCGCTGAGCAGCGCAGAAGCAGAACTCTATGCGATCAACACAGGAGCAACAGAAGCCTTACACATCAGCAACCTCCTGAAAGAAGCTCTCAACATGAAGAAAATCAACATCCGCATACACACCGACTCATCAAGCGGAAAGAGCATGGCAACAAGGATTGGATCATCAAAGAAGGCCAAGCACATCGAGCTCAAACACCTGTTTATACAACAGCTGGTCGCACATGACCTCGTGAGGATTGTCAAGATCAACACCGTTCACAACCCGGCCGACATCTTCACCAAGTATGTCGCGACAGAGACGCTTTTGCGTCACATCAGTGATGTTGGCATCAGCACCCAGCGTCACTGAACAACAAACAACAAAGAGCAACAACAACAACAGTTTCACTGCAGCCAGGCGTGTTAATGTGCGAGCGCGTGCACAACGTGCGAACATCGTGCGTGGCATGCACACACAAACATACATACTTTTGAGCCATGGTGTCAACAAAGGTTGACAACATGAACTATCCCATAGTGATCCCCTATACTTCAACGTGGAGTATATGAACAAGATACTCATACAGTGTTTCAACATGATCAACTATGTCATATACTTCTTCAACATGATGTGCACTACATGGTTGTGGACGTGTATGGCAACATGTTTGTTTTAGACAACATGATGGACTTCGAACACAGTGTTTCAACAGTTTCTGAATTCAGCATGTTTTTGTCTCGCAGACCTTTTTTGATGATGTCAACATTTTGTTGACAACAAATGATGTTCACCGCAGCCTTGTCTGATCAACAGCTTGGTGAACAATAACGTCTCGAACGCCAACAACTTTGAGATGGCCACCAAGTTCGTCACACCTGAGGTGACCAACACGATCCATGTGGCAACAAGTGTAGAACACTACACCTCGGTCTACAACCTTGTGGACATGAAGGAGTTTGGCAACATTTTCAAGGTCAACACTGTGGGCCAAGCACTCACCGCAGACGAGGCCTTTCAACAGATCTGGGTGTCTTACCCAACTGCAAATCGAGAAGGAATACAGGCTCAGCAACAAGGAGCTGATGAACCAACATCATTTCTCCTTGCATGGACAGGTGGCAGAGATCTTCAACAGATACAGCTGGGAGAAAGGATTTGGATGGACATACAACGTCGTGGTCAACATCGATGAAGCCATCAGCGAGGAGAGCCCAACACACTGGGCACACTATGCTATGCGCCAAATCATGGAGTATGGTGGAACACAGCTCATGGTTCAGGTCAACCAGACATTGGTAGTGGAGAAGCTTGTAGGCCAATGTCTGGTTGACCTGAACCATGAGCTGTGTTCCACCATACTCCATGATTTGGCGCATAGCATAGTGTGCCAGTGTGTTGGGCTCTCCTCGCTGATGGCTTCATCGATGTTGACCACGACGTTGTATGTCCATCCAAATCCTTTCTCCCAGCTGTATCTATCAGCGAGGAGAGCCCAACACACTGGGCACACTATGCTATGCGCCAAATCATGGAGTATGGTGGAACACAGCTCATGGTTCAGGTCAACCAGACATTGGCCTACAAGCTTCTCCACTACGTTGACTTGAGAAGTTCAACATCAGCGTCGAGCCCAACACGAACTTGACCACAGATTGCATCAGAGGATCAACAACATTCTCTGGTCGATTCGTTGATCGAATGATTCAACAGGTCATCACTGAGACCAACGAGTTGAATCAACAGGAAGCCATGGAAGTTGAAGCTCCAACAAATGTGGAGCTTGGCAACACGTTGGTTGCCAACAACAACGCCTAGGCCAACAAGATGGATTGAGGAAAAGGGGAGAAACTGCAACTCCCTTGGCTCAACAGCCTAAAACAACAGAGATGCTGATGAGTGCAACAGGCAGTCCAACACCTGAGAGTACCGACAAATAGATTGTACACTAATACACTTAGACAACAGTCTTTTGTCAATACCTTAGTTTTGTAAAGTGTACAGGTTGGCTGACCCAACATAGAAACAACATAATGTCGTTACGGTTCAACATGTTAGTAGTGAGATTTCAACAGAGTGATGTTTGAAACAACATCAATCTGAGGGGCGGTGTTAAGAACCAACACCCTCTCACAACATCAGTTGTGCCAATGTACATATGTGCAACATCTCGGTTCAACAAGGCCTTGAGCCTATTGTATGCCAACAGACAAAAGGCGCGTACAGCAACAGCTGCAACAGATTGACAGCAGGCTGCCTTGTGATTTCACAATATATATATATATATTAATATGTCAGAACAGCTCTATATGAGAGTCGTTGGATGCCTTGGCGGATTTTGCGCCAGGTGCAGGCTGCGAAGGCGGCCCAGTTGCAGCGACAACAGGAGATACGCGTGGGCGAGGCCCAGAATGGGAGCAATGGTGGAGATGAGCTGAAACAAGACTGAAACGATATGAACAAAACCTGAAAACATGCAGAAAACTCGAGGTTTGAAGAAATAAGAGTTGTTCGGCAAGACCCGGGCATGTGCAAGAAGATTTGCCAGGAATGGAGCGAACATTTGAAATTGCCCGCGAACCGAACACCTGAAGCGTCCCTCGGAAAGAAGTCGGCACACTTGGACACACTTTTTCGCACAGTTCAATCTCTGTGAGACCTTTTGCAACGCTGACTGCACTTTTGTAATTTGCAATCTCTAGATTCATTCTAGTTCTCTGGCTTTGCACTTTTGAAATTGGATCATTTCGTTGTTTTGAAATCTCCAAAAAGATTCATTTCGTTGTAAACAACCAATGGATTGGTGGCTTGGTCACCGCCCCTTTCGTTTGGTTCCAGGATGATGAACTTCTGGGAGGAGGTCAAGGCATGGAAACATGACATTTCAAGGAGACCTACAGGATGGTTTCTGATAACTATTGATAACTGATATCTTCTGATATAAATGATGTATATTTCTGGTGGAACATATATAGGATATCTATATAATGAATTCTAATGATATCTTTGATATAATCCACAATGCAAGAAAGGACTATTATGGACTATTGATGCATTCAACAGACTCTCATTGACGACTTTGCCAGATTCGCCTCCTCAAGCGCTTCGGCAGCTTGCACATGGCAGTTGGAGGTGCAGATCGCAGATGAGTTGATCTATACAGTGTGTACAGTGTGCGCAATGTGCAATGCAAGCAGTGAGGCTTGGCAAATTGGATAGCCGTTGAAGATGTTGAAGAGATTTTGGCCTTTTTTGGCCGGCAAAATTCTCAGGTGAACATTCCGTTTCCTTCATCCAGTTCTGCGAAATTCTCAGGCAAGATGATAGTAAGACAGCTGCGGGTGTTCCCGATGCGACAGTAAATTCGATGCTTTGCGCTGTACGGTGCTGTGCTGTGCGGTGCCCATCGGTGCCCGGTGCCCTGTGCCAGGGTGATCCACTTTCCGCTTCACCAGAGTACTTGCAGACACATCTTCGGGCAGGCAGACGCGCCGAGGGCGGGGTAGGATGTAGAAGGCATAGAAAGGGCTCCCCCCCAGATGTGCCCGAGAAATGCCTTCCGGTCTGCGGTTCGCATGGCTCCGCGCAGGTCTGTGGAGGCCATCGAGAAATGCCCGTGGACGCCTTCAAAGCTCTGCTGATGGAGAGGACGACGCAACGCAGCGACGCAGCGACGCAGCGACGCAGCGACTGGCACTGTAGTTACTGTTCTTTCTTAAGTTACAAAGTTCTCAAATGTTCTCAAGTTCTTTCTTCGATGTTCAGTTGCAGCAGTTGCAGTGTTGTGACTTTCTACTGACATTCGAGTGACCTTGTAATGGAATTCTAATGGTACTTTGTACATCTTTGTACATCTTTGTACTGTATTCAGTACTGGTGCACAGGACGATCCATTCGATGCGCTTTGTCCTGGAAGGATGGAATGGAAAGCAGGTCATCCATGGTCATGACCATGGCACCATCTTCCTTGATTCCATACTCTTAGCATACCTTGCAGCATGTTCCAATAGTGCCTCCCAGTGTCTTCCTTTGCCTTCCGGTCGATCCTTTTTTCTCGCTTTCCTTAACGCAACATATGTCACTGCGAGTAGCTTGTAAGTATGCTTACACTGCTTATATAGTATCCAATATAATCCATAGCATCCCCATAGACTGGTCCGTTTTCACTGCTGTCAGGCCCGAGTCCGTTCTCACATCCGCACTTTCATCAGGCGGGACATGCAGCCGAACCAGGCGAGATTCGGCTCGGATCAATTGGATCGAGTTGGATCGAGGCGACTGGCTGAAGTGGATGAAAGACAAGAAGAACAAGCTGTGGCTTCTTGGCAAATAAAAAGCTGCTCCATATTCTGCAGCCGAATTCAACATGAATTTTGCATTTCGACTGCAAACAAAGTCAAACAATTTAAAGCAAGTTTTTGCAAGTCAAATCTCAACATATCTCAACCATGCATCTGATTTTTTTTTGACTTCATTTCCTTTGAACACACTTTCCATTTTGCCATTTCCCTTTGCCGGTAACGATGCTGGAGCATGGGCCCCAGGACCGTTTCCAAAGAAAACTCACTGCGGCTTGGACAAAAAAATCCAGAAGCTCCAGAAGCACAGCCGGATTTAACGAATCAGTGGTTTTCCCATATAATTTCTCACTTTTTGGCCTTGATTGTTGGGCTTTAACAGATTTGGAATGATTTTTCAACAGACTTGGACATGTTCTTCCCTTCGGCTTGATCTGAGGCCAGCTTCATTCGCAACTTTTGGCAACTCCTGCTGCGGAAAAGCAGGTGGCATCAAATGTGACCAAGTTACAAAGTTTACAGAAGTTCAATTGTTTCGGTTCTCAATGTTTGACTTGTTTTTCAGTTTTAAGTTTTAACTTGATGTTTTGACATTAAAACAATTGTTTTCCATTTTCTGCCAAGTTGATTGTTGCCAACTGCAGTTCTAGAGAAGACGTGGTGATCACGCAGACGTCTCTGGTGCAAGCACTGCTGGATCCAGAGGCGCTGTCAGATGCGAAGTCACGTCATGAGTTACGAGGAGTTACTTAGTCGTTTGAACATTTCGAACCGCAGACTTTTCTAATTTTGTACAAACTGATTCTGATGAGTTTTGTGAGATAGTTTGCTGCAAACTTGAGGCCAACTGCATTTTCCAGGAGCGTTGGAGCACTGCAATTTTCAATGTACTTTGTGATTCCCAGAAGTTGCGGTAGAGCATCAACAAGAGTTCTATGATCAAACGTCCTGTCTTGGAAACTGGTAGCAGGCAAACACGAGCCACACACTAAACTCTACACAAGAAACATGTTGACACATGTTGACAGATGTTGATCTTGTGCCAGGACCACGAGATGATTTACATGTTGCGAATTTTTGAGCACATGATGAAATTCCGCAACAGCTTGTGTCAGACCCGTGGGGAAAACGGGCAGAGCGGGCAGAACGGGCAGAGCGGTGTGCCTGTGCCCGGTCTCCCCATGAGTGGCTACATCACGGGTCTGACGTTGGTCAGCATGATCCCGACCAAGAGCGAAAAGTTGGAGCTGATCTTCGAGGCCCAGCTGGTGAATACTCTTTGGTCTTATATAATTATATAACTTATAATTAACTATTATATAATGAGTCCATTGTTACAGCTGAATTCTCACCATGGATCCATTGTTGTGTTCCATGTGGTTTCATGGCGAGGCTTTTGACCTGGATGCGGATCATTGCCTTCTCTACAAACAGGCGCGGTGACGCCATGGGCCTGTGGTGATCAGCATCAGCCTGTCGTGATTCATGGCTGTCGACTCTGGACATAAATCATCTATGAACAATTCGGCGTCGCCTTGAATATATAATATAATATAATATATAGTTGATATTGATACATTTGATATTGATACTGGCTGATCATGGCTGATCATGGCTCATGAACAGCAGCCAATCTTGATAAAGCTGGCAGATTTTCGAGCTTTGCCATTGCGTTTCAGTGCTGAAGGTCACGGGCTCAGTTTGTGAAACGTCCGTGTGTTTTAGCGGTGCTGGACGAAAAGGAAACAGAAGACCAGATTTGTTTCAAAGATGCTGAAATTCGGATGGTTTCACTTGATCATTACCTTGGTGTGCAGTTGGGAGATTTCTCATCAATCAGGAACCTCATAGTTCCACAATTACTCAATTCGGTTTCTCGGATGAGCAGAATATCCAACTGTTTTGAATTTTGAATATAAACATACCAAGAACAAAATAGAATCACACAATATCACAATTATATCACACATATCATGAAATTCATCGAGTTTTTGCATGTTCTTCTCTTTTAAAGGACATGAAAAAGTGGAATCGCAGTCACCGCAGTCCGCGCAGGTCATGGTGGAGGAGAGCGCCCGCGGATCCCCGGATGAGCACTTCCAGGCGGAGCTGTCGCAGCAGGAGCCACCGGTGGCCGGTGGGGAGCACGTCGAGCCGATGGAAGGAAAACATGGGAAAACATGCTATACATTGCTACGATCGATAATGAGATTCGATAATAACGTCATGCTATGATTGATAATGACATATAATGACATATAATGACGTCATGAGATTCGATCACATGACCAATTGATGTTGACATCGTGTTTCACATGTTCCATCCAAGCCGGACATTGCTCCACACTTACAATCATCATCATCATCATCATCATCATCATCATCATCATCATCATCATCATCACCAGTGTCACCTCATGTGGAAGGATCATAAATCATAAGGGATCATAAATGCACCACCCCCTCTGACATATATTATATATATACATATATGTTGAATGGTGTAATCACATCAACTTATCTTCATAAGGATCAAAAATCCACTGCCCACTCTGGCACAAATGTTGAATGGTGTAATCACATCCACTTATCTTCAAGAGATCAACATCCGCCACCCCCTCTGACATATATGTTGAATGGTGTTATCACATCAACTTATCTTCATAAGGGATTAAAAACCCACCGCCCCCTCTGGAAAATATGTTGAATGGTGTAATCACATCAACTTATCTTCATAAGGGATGATGATGGTGACGACGGTGATGGTGATGACGATGATGACGATGATGACGATGAGGACGATGATGATGATGATGATGATGATGATGATCATGATGATGATGATGCTGATGATGATGATGATGATCATAGATCATAGATCACATATACATACGGTACATCTACATATTGAAAGTCCACCGACATGGCATTTTAAAAATACGCAACCTTTCCGCAATTCTGGCGCGGAGCAACGTCAGGGTTGCACCGTACATGTTTTATGACATGACACTATTGATGATTATAGAATATGATTTGATGATTGTATATGAGATTGTTCAGCATTGATCAACATCATTGACACCCACATGTTTTTCAGCAAACGCTGAGAGACTTAGCAAAACTTTTCATTTTGGCCACAGGTGAATGAGCTTGTTGTCCTTTGCCTGGCCCTGGTTCGCTGTTTTGGGTGGATGTGTGATATGTAGGACTTTCAGAGGAGGGACAACACTCTGACAGGAGGGACAGCGAAGCTACGAGTGCATCCGGTGGCACTTGCAGCGCCGTGGGGTCCCAGGCCCAACTCAGCCGGCGTTTCTTTTCCCCCCAACATTTTGCTGTAAAGCTTCGTAGCTTCGTTCGGAAAAGAAGTTTGCAGGAATGAGTTTGGAACATTGGAAGATCTTGTTTTTTTCAAAAGAACACCGTGAAAGGGTTTTCAATCGTGCTCCTGACCTGTTCGTTTCAGCTACGCCCGCGAGGTGACATTGCCAGAAGCTGAGTGTGGTAGTTGTTGCGTCTAAAATGTGTCTTGCTGTGTCTTGCTGTGTCTTGTAGACCTCCAGACCTCCAGGCGACGTAATGTCTATATTGTTGTGCACATTTGTGCACGTATCTACAGAGCATGTTTTGATATGTCTTGTAACAAGATGTAACAAGTAGCAACTACATTTCATCAACTACAGATGTACCACCACACGCACAACTCACCCAAGTACAGACACAAAATGACACTATTGTCACTAAAAAACATGTTAATGACATTCTTGGACACTCTGTTGACACTATATTGACACTATATTGACACTATATGTCACTTACTTTGTTGGATTATCGGATTGAGATATGACATATGTGATATGCCTCCATCGTTTGCGTTTCAGGTGAGCTTTCCAGAGCTCCGTGCGGCCTGGGAGACGCAGCCGAGTTTACAATCGCTGCTTCCAGGTGGCGGGCGAGTTTGAGAAGATTGAGAACATGATGGATATATGGTACATATATGGTACATGTATGGTACATGTAGTATGTATCTTTCAAATTCTACAGGTTTGTCAACATTTCTGAGGAGAGATAGATCATGGTATTCGGATATGTTTGATTTGTGGGTTAGGACACGAGTCTTACATGGCAACAAGGCCGACCACTGTGAAGTGGCACCTGAATTGGTGCACAGGTTGGGTGCAGATCCGTTGGGCAGCACAGGCAAGGAATCGTGCGGAGTGCGGAGCTTCTAAACCGGCAGACACAAGCAGATGCAGTGGCCGCAAGAAGGCATGTTTTGATTTTGATATGTTGAACATGTTGAACATGTTGAAGATGTTGAACGCGTTTCATGTGTTGAATGGCATGCTCATCATGCTCTCTCTTGTTCTGTCATTGTCCAGCCCGGGGCCAAGCCGCAAAATGTGATGCATGGAGGCACTGCCGGGGGAAGACTTTTCCGCTGTCTTTGCTTCCACTTTTGAGGGCAAGAGTCTGCAACTCAGAAACTCTCAGTTATACTACTTTTGCTGAGGTGTTTGATTTTGGATCTCACCTTCTAACATTTGCCACAGATCTCACATTTTTAGGGATGACCCTGTAGCCTCTGTTAGCACGTTCTTGCAGCTCTTGAATGCAACATACTGCGCAAGGTCGTCAGAGCCATACGAAGAGCAGAAGGCTTCTCTTCATTTCTCGTGCTTTTAGATACTTTTGGCAAAGCTGGCAGAACTGATGTCTACGTTTTCCCCTTTTCCAACCTGTTGCTGTTTGCTTCGCCTGATCTACAGCCCCAGCTCTTGCAGTCGCCGCTCTATCCAAACAGCACCTACAACTGGCCCCAGTCGAGAAGATGAGTGGTGCGTGTTCCTCTTCTGCAAGTGGGTCGTTGAATTTGAATTGGCGATGAATTTAGCACTTGGAAATGCCCACAGATGCATTTGGTGGACAAACACTCGACAAACACTCGACAAATACTTCCAACATCTTCCACATCTGTTGAATTCACGGGTGCAAGGTCTGAAGCGTCTCGCTGGCTCCTCAACGGGGTTAGCTGCCGGGGTTAGCTGCCGGCACAGCAGCTTCCCCAGCTCGAGCTCCGAGGTCTGCCAGGTCCTCAGGGCAACGCGGCCATCTTCAAGTCCGTCCTGACGGCCAAGTGCGCCGCAACATGCCGTCATTCCGACAGAAGGAATTATTCCAAGATGCAATATGATGCAATTTCTGAAACCCAAAATGTGATTTGATAGGCTTTTGTGAAAACATCTCTGTGCCTGAAAGTCATGTTGACTTCCTTTTTCGCCTAGACTAGACCTTTGCAGGTTCTCGAAATCTCTTCGGGATTTGGGCAACCGACGACTCGTTTGGCCCTTACATTCTCAAGTGTTTCATGAAGGTCATGAAGTGGTTGCAAGAGTGTCATGATAAGAATTTAAGTTTGATCTAAAGTGTTTCAACATTTTCAACTTCAATTCTTATGAAACTTCTTACCAAGTAAGATCTCGTATACTCACGCGGCTTATCCGGCATCTGAGGTGGAGCTGACAAGAGACTTTGAAGTCCGTCGCCGTTCCATCAGCCGTGGACTTACCATGACCGACTCGGTTTTGAGGTGTCCAGGAGGTGTCCATACTGGGTGCAGTGTCCATAGGTTTCTTATGGTTTCTTTTTCGGTAAAGTTGTGACATGGCCACATGGCCATTGTTGGTACTCAGAACCCCCTCAGATTGCCATGTTTTGCGCACCTTGAGAAAGACACTCTGGAGACTTAAGGTGATGCAAAAGATGGAAAAGGAGCTACAAAAGGCCTCAAGGCGAGAAATTAAACTAGACTAAGATCTATTTAGACAGGTTGCTTTACGCAATTTCTGAATCTTTACGTTATTTTTGAAACCAAACTGCTGAGAGCTACCGACTTTGAAGGATGTCAAGGAGGTCAGCACCAAAGATGCAGAGGCACCGATTTTCTGCACCATGTGTCTTTATCTGCCACTAAAACCTGTTTAACTCATAGGAGAATGCCGGATCCAGTTTCAATCTATACCGGTACAGTAGTGTGTCTTACTATGTTTTAGTGTTTCAATATGGACATGTTGAAGAAATGGCAGGGCTTGAAGGAGTTGAGGGTTGCATGGAGCCACTTGCAGTGCTTTCATCAGCGAGTTTAGGCAGGCCGGCTTCAAACTTTTTGGCTCCAGCGTTGGCATTAGATGCCTAGAGAAGGAATGTGCAAAAGAGCTAAAGAGCCACGAGTTCAAAGGAATTTCAGGTGGAACAGTTGAAACAGTCCGGTGAGATGCGGGTGCAGCTTTATATGCTCCGGAATTCAGTCTCCCTCACATTGTCCAATCTGAAGATATCCGAATCGCATTATATTGGATTTGAAAAGAGAAGTCTTTCCATATCTTTCCACAATTGGCATGGACAACGGCCTGAGTCTGGCCACGGACATGCCTCATTTTTTTTTTTACCAAAAAATCCAAAAATTCTCGGGATTTGATCGCGAGCTGTTGGAATCGACATTGCCAGGTTGGAATTGACATGAATTGACTTTGGAATCTAATAACCTGTTTTTGAAGTGCACAAAAGCATAGAAAAGCATAGAAAAGCATAGAAAAGCATAGAAAAGCATAGAAAAGTATTGCCCTAGAAAAGTATCCCTCAAGTGTATCAAAAGTGTATCAAAAGCCCTCAATTGCACCGTGCCAATTGCACCGTGCCAATTGCACCGTGCTGTGCTCTGACGTGCCATGGCGGGTCACCCGTTGTTCCGCACTGTGCTGCTGAACTCGGAGCGTCTGGGGTCGGTGTCCCTCACGGAGCTTGGACAGGACGGAACCACTAAGGATGTCTACAGCTGAGATATACAGCTGACATATATCATGAGATTCATGAGATTCATGAGATCAAAACAAGATAAAACAAGTGTCATATCATCATATCCGTGATCCAACTGCTTGAAACTTGGCCAAAGTATTCTTCTTATGCAATGTGACAGGATATAGAAAGCAAAGGACAATTCCGTTAATTGAGTCCCTGCAGGAAGCAGCAGCTGCTCTGAAAGCGGCCGGGCAAACTGTGAGTCTGAAGCTGAATGCCAAAGCACTTTTCTGCAGTTGACTTGTCTCGGCTTTACACTGGGTACAAATTTGGTTGCACTTATGCGTTCAAGTGATTGCTCTGTTTTTGAATGACAGTCCTGCATAGTCCTGCTGCACTACATCAATCTTTCACTCTGCTTCCCAGATCCTTTGTTTTCATATGTTTTCATCAAACCAGGTGTCTTCGAGAGCACCACTGCAGGTCTTGTCCAGGCGTGAATTTTTGGTGCCAGAAGTATTCTCCAACTGGACCTTTTGTGTTACAGGCATCTCTACAATCCCAGCCAGGACAGGGCGGGTACACAGTTTCCAGATGTTTGTACACCTTTTGTAGCCATTGTTCGGAGGCATCTCAGTTTGCAAATTTCGGTGACAATCCAGGAGCCTCGTCTTTCACAACTTGTGGAGCGGTCAGCTACAGCAAACAAAAGGTTGGCAGTGTCGTCACTATGTTTGTTGAAACCAGACACGTAGGTATTTGTAAGGTTCAAGTAAATGCCATGCTGAAAAACCAAAATAATCGTACGCGATGACTTGAACATACTTATCATAGTTGCACTAATCTTGAACTGTGAGGCATTTTCGAACTTTTTCGAACTCAATTGAACTCCTTGTAGTATCTTGTAGTATCTTGTAGTATCATCCATCCATCGTTTCTTCTGGTAGGCTCATGCTGTCCTGGGCGGAGAGGTCCTGTTGCCCTCCGCAAAGCCGGAGAACGGCGAGGGCTACAAGGTCCTGTTGCGAAGATTTGTTAACATCGTTTTCCTTGTTTTTGACATTTTTTGACATACGGAGACTTCAACTTTGTGTGAGGAAAACGATGTTAAGATCCAGCAAGTTTTTCTTGTGCCCATGCCAGGATTCAAAGCGACAGACCCTCAGCGTCGCTGCAGTTCAACCCAATCACTTTGTCCAAATGGATGAAGATCTGTGAATGGCTAAAAATTGAGGTACTTGGACAGAGACGCTTGCTCGGCTGAAGCGCAAGGAGGTCGGGAACCGCTCAGTTCGAACCCACTTCGCCAAGAGAGTTTACAGAGTCTATTCGTGATTAAATCATATTAAATCAGTTGTAAGTTTGTGTGAAATTATCATCAGGATATATCAGGATCAAATTGACTCAAGGTGGAGCTCCAAAGTCGTGCTAAGCAATCCTGCAGGATCTCCAGTGCGAAGTCATAGTGACATTATGTGACATTCTTGATATTTCTTGATCATATTTGTTTTATTTTGTTTTTGGTATGAAACTTCCTGGAAGTCTTCCAACAAGCCGGGATTGTGCAGACATCAGACCACCGGACTTGCCGTTCTTGTCCCGGAGGTTGGCTCCACTTGGTGCCTGTGTGAGAGTGGCGCTTGTGGGCCTACCTTCACCTTCCCAGAGATCACCACAGGACCAGTTTTTCATCGCCTCCGGTTTTTTCTCTTGAGATTTGCAATTTTTGTGATCTGGACCTTGCTGCCTTTGCTCAGGATTCACTGCGATCTTTGTGTCCGGCCCCATTGAGCGTGGAGTCTTCCTTGAGTCGGGCCACAATGACAGAGAAGCCAACATGCCGAGACCCTCAGTGACCGGACAGTGCGATAGAAACTGTGACCGGACAAGTCCGAAAAGGAGTGAAGTCTTGACAGCAACACTCTATGGAGGGAAAACCAGGAGGGAATGGTGCGAATTTCAACGAGAACAAGACGCCGTGGAGAACAAACATCCAGAGTTCATAGCTGGCATAGCTGGTGCCAATGCTGGTGCCAATGCTGGTGCCATTGCTTTCCGTTCCAGGTGGAGCTACACGAAAGCGGCCCTGCAACTGCTGGCGGATTGTGTCAAAGATGCACAGGCCCAGCAGGCCCAGCAGGCCCAGGCGTGGCCACGAGTTGGCAGAATTTCTGCATCAAAATTGGAGCCGTAGGCGAATCTTTGGTGCAATGCTCAATGCTGCAGGAAATGCCCAAGGCGCCATTGCTGACAGCCAAAGAGGACAGATTTGCAGTTGTTCCAGGCTTGGTTTGCCTCAGAAGATGTACACACAAAGTATGTACTATGATGTACTATCAGCTATCAGAAGACACAAAATCACTAAGTCAAACTATGTGCTGTTTGACTAATTGTTCGCATTTCTCCTGTGGAAGGACCGCTATGGTGGCGTTGAGGTGCAAGTCTCAGGGGCAACGTGTTGTACGATGTTGTACGTGTTGGATGCCCATTGGATGCTGTGATCGATTTGCACCGGACAGGCGGTGGCTGAAGTTGGTCCAGTGGGGGCGTTTGATGCGGAACTCCGGCAAGGTGCGGGTTCCTCTCGTTTTCCTCATGACATTTCGCCATGAATTACTGAAGTACGATGAATCTGCGAGTCTCCCATAAAACGGGTCTGACGGTCTGATTATCGAACGAGAGGCCTGCAAGGATGGAAGTCTGCAGGAAAGAAAGGCTGGAGATCAAAATGCTGCTAATAAGTCAAGAATCCAGGCATTTTGCTTTCTTTATCACATTGACTTCCATAGCATGTCCATAGAGGTAGATTCTGGAACACGTCGACTCCGACGTCGACTCAGGCATTTGGCTGAAGATCCCACTTCCGGCTGCTGCTTGCGTTGGTTCTGCAGTAGCACAAGGTCGAGCAAAGACAGATACTATACAGACTGCCAAAGATCACGGATTCAAGTGGCGTTCGTTATAAATCTTCATGATTCATGATTCATGGCAGAGATGTTTGCTTTCCCCAGGTTTCCGTTTTCATCATGCCCAAGAGGAGCTGTCTTGGCAATTGCTGACCTCAACTCTCTGTTGCTGTTACAAAAACATATTTCTTCTCACATTTTTTTCAAAACATATCTCAGTGAGAACAATTACTCTCTGCAGTTTTGAACGCGCAGGACTATGTGATGATGACGCAGTGGCTTCCGGATTCTCCAAGTCCTTTGCCAAGGTGTGGCATGGTGTGGCCATACGGCCTAGACGGCAGCCTTATGCAGCCTTGCAAACACAAGAGGGTCGTGGCACCGTGGCACGATGTGGAGGTACGCCTTTACCCAGGTTGGTGTGGGCGGCATTGTTGTGAACAGCAAGGACCGGAGTTGCAACTGCATACTGCATTTTGAAGTAGGACTGCCTTTAAGATCTTTGTTTGATACTCATTGATACTCTGGTGCTGTCGTCTGTCCTCGGCTCTTCCTTGTTTTAGAGTGTGCTCGGGTGAGGGGCCATTGTACCTCATGTGTTTCTGAATGCCATCAGTTTGCTCAAAGTCAAAGTGGGTCCTCTAAATGTACCTGGCTGATGTCTCACAGATTGGAGCACTGCCCGCGCCACCAGGATGAGATCTTGTTGGTTCAAGAGCGAGTCTCCCCGGTGCCGCAATTTGAGGGCTGCAACCCGGTTGCAACACAGAGACCCATGATGCAATGGATGCAATATGAAATGGCTGTAGCGGCAGGTAGTCACTCTGTCCGTGCTCCATGTGGCCACATGTTGAAACTGTTTGAAACTGATGTGGTCCAAGGTTGGAAGCTTCCAGGCCCAGCAAAACATCGTTTTTTTTTTTTTGTTTTTTTGGATTCTATTGGCGCTGTTTTTATGGCGAAGATGTGTGTTGCAGGTGGCTTGGCAGATCCTGGCGAGGATTTTGCCATTGGCTGAGACAATGACACATACCGCACACCGCATATGACAGGATGCATATACGAATGGTCTATGAGTAAGGACACCATCACAAATTATCAAAGGCAAAAGATTATGATTACTTATTATATGAACTTATATGAGAATTATGATTCATGATGGTTATGGCATGTTATGGCATGCTGGCCTTGGCTGCAAAGTTCCAGGCGGAAACGGTTCTGAGAGAGGTGCAGGAGGTGCCAAACATGTTTAACACTGTTTAACACTGTTTAACATGCATTCATGTGCCGAACATGTGCCGAACATGTGCCACGCATGTTAAACAAACTTTCGTTTCGTTCAGTTCGTTTCAATCGAGGAAACGGGCATCAAAGGCGAACTGGATGGCGCCTTGGCGGAGTGGCATCAAAGACACCCTTTTGGAGTCGCCCCCTTTTGCGCCACACACGAGTTGTTCGGAGCACCCTTTTTGCGCACCAAGGAGTCGTCAGCCTGCGCCACTCGCACAACTTTCGCTTCGGACAGGATGATATCTTCGTCTCAGTGAAAGTCAAGGTGCAATGATACGCCATGATGCCAAGGTTTCGGAAAGGGAAACAAGACGCAAAGACGGATAAATAAACATGAGAATTGTACAATTACATTTTTTTCATTTTTTTCTTTTTTTGTAGCAATCAGGCAAAACATGGCAACACATTATATAGAGATTTGATTTCACCACAAGTCGCACGGTGATTCAAGGCATTCAAAGCATTCAAAGCGCACTCTCAACATCTCCAGAGTCTGGAAGTCGCACATATTGCACTTTGTTCAAGGCTACAACTGAGTCGATCTGTATCGATCCGAACGAGTTGAGGGATGCGCGATGGATGAGTGAGGCACGAGATTGTCGGGGCGAACCCACAAGATGAGTGCTGTGAAAATGCATAAAATGCCACAATTGTTACGACATGTTACGACCTCCCTTGGATTGCACTTCACAAAGGCTGAGATCAAAGAGCTTCTTGCAGACTCCACTGCGTCATCGCTGGATGGCAAGGTCAGGATGATGTTTGTTTTTTGTCTTTCACAATCCAATTTTTCAATATTTTTCACATGACATGTATTGTTTCGCTCTAGAATGTGTTTTTGCATTTGTTTCTTTCTTCTTCGCAACGTGACCCAACCGTATGTGCAACAGCATGGGACTGCCTCAGAAGGACAACTTGAACTGCCTCTGCAGGTGCCATCAAACCAGTGGAAGGTCATCGAGAAAGCCCTCCACGGCTCAATGATTGAAGGAACTGCTCTGCCAAACTCAAGAGGCGGATTGAACCGGATTAACAGATTGAGTCGGATAGAGAGAGTTTGCAGCTGCTTGGAACTGCTTTGATAAATGGACAAGTGCTAAGCTGCTGAAGCTTCTGGTACATTCCATTGATCTTTTGACATCAAACGACTGCAAAAAGTAGCTGTTCACCAATGTCAACTCTGTTTGCTTTCCTCAGGTGGGAAAATGTCCATGCTGTACACGGGGCCTGCACTGAAATAATTTGCGTTTTCCATTCAGATGCACCAATTTTCTCTCGCGGACAAACTTTTTCACGCCTCTGCGAAGCAGAGATCAGGGCCTGAGCTTCTGGGTCTCGAGCAACGTTGAGCGGCCCTTCGTTTGTGAAAAGAGGATCGATTCGGCGATGATCCACAGACATCGCTGCAGGGATATGCTCGTGGGTTGCATCATGTTGCATCACCAGACATCACTTGTATCTTCGAAATCCAAGCACCGTACCTGGCTGGCAAGGCCCCAAGATCCAAGGCCATGAGAGACACTGACCCAAACTTGAGTTTTTTCATGGTTTTTCGGTTGTCCCAACATTTTGGTGCAGTTTTGCTATGTTTTGCTATGTTTTGCTTGCTAGGCTGTCACCAATCTGATCTTGCATTCAGGTAGCAGAAATTTCTCGCGCGCAGTCTGCTCCATCTTTGGTGCGCAGGGGGGAAACATGGGACCGCGACAGACTGCAAACCGTAGACTCCGTAGACATTGAGTGTTGGCATGTGTTGGCTGCGGCAGATGTGAAGCATTTGACACACTTCAGGTTGGCAGTCGAAAGGGTCTGGGTCCGAAACTCAGAGAATGTTCGTAAAGTATCGTAAAGTCAGGTCATGTGAATTGATCTGAAACTTGAGGCCTTCCCCAAGGTCACCATGTCACCATATACCAAGAATTTTTAGTCCTGGATTAAAGATGGAGAGAGTATGAGAAAGTGGGATCCCTGAAATTTCTTTCTACAGTTCAGCTTGGTTCAGGTTCCTGTTGTTGTAGTTTGACATGCCAAATAGATGCTGTACTGCACCTCTCGAAGTTTCTCCAGGTGATAAGTTCGGGCCTCAGTGGAGTCTGGGTTTTGACGTCGCAATATGTGGTGCCTATGACGTTTTTTAGGGATGCACCGGTTGCCAAGGAGAGAAGGTGATGTGGCCTCGCTGCCGCCGCAGCGATGGGGACAAGAGGTTGGCAAGTCGGATTCTTTCGAGCTTTGGACACGACCAAACAACCAAGAGTGTCTCAATCAAAAATCACAGCAAAGACATTCAAAGACATTCAAGTCACTGAAACGTTCACTTCCCTCCAAATCCTTCTGACATATCTTGTTTCTTTCAAACAGAAACCACATTTGGGGAACTTGAATTTTGGAAGGCCCTAAAACAATAGTCCATCTCAGAGCAGAAACTTGAGGATCTCTCTTTTTCAGACATCGAGCAACTTCTTCGCTAGAATTTGCTTGGTGCCAAATGCCACAGGCAGGAAATCGCTTCAGGATCTATGCTGTGGCCAGTTACTCAGTTTTCACTTCCAATGATGTATGCTACAGTTGGATACAGTTAGGGAATATGGGTTTGCCAAGTAGTTTGAGAATAAGGGTACCTCGAAATCCCATCGTCAATCATCATTTTCCACGCATTTGTCCTTCTCCCTCCATTTTTGGAAGAAGCCATATATTCATATAATATATATATATAAATTATATTCCTGAATCAGCCCCAAGATGGCCATGTGGCTATGCTCTGTGCCAAGGCCAAGACAGGGCCCGATCGCCAAGTGCACAGCCGGAGAAGGCAGATTGGCCGAATGATTTATTCATTCGGCCACAGCCACCTCTTCCAACAGTGCCCATACTGTGCAGATCACACTGTGCCAGGCCGAATCCTGGTCAAGGACTCCCTTTCAAGCCGCGAGCTGATTTTTGGCCATGCAATCGCAATTGCAGAAGGAAGCATCATCTCAAATATTCTCAAATGCATCAAGTGATATCACATGTTTCCCCGAAAAAATGTCGATTGATTTCTTGAAACACTATATAATCTAGATGCCAGCGTTTGCAGGATGATTAAACATGATTAAACATGATTGAAGTTTACTTGAGCTTTTGCTCTATCCAATATATTAAATCTAATCTGGAGTCCCGCAAGCCCCTTGAGGTGCAAATTGTGCTTGAGGATGCATAAGCTTTGCCCAGGGCATGATGTGCTCGAGTGATGTAGGGACGTCGTGACGTAGTCAGTGATCGTTTCACTTCAGCGGCCAAAGGCTTGCGCTGAAAAAAGGATCCGCTATCCGCTATCCGCTCATCAAATAGGCCAAGACGAAAGACTTCCAAGCCTTGAGACCTGTCATGCCCCATCATGCCCCATCGTCTTGAGGTACGCTATGGAGCACTACAACCTTGAAAAGGACATTGCCTCTGATCTGAAGGAGCAATTTGAACTCGAGTGCCCAAACTTTGCCGACGGTGGGACACAGCATAAAACATGCAGAACACTATGGACATCTATGGACTGTGGCACGGCACAGCAGACTCGAGGTATGGCCCCACTTGGCACTGCTTGGTCGGTCGCCACTTCTCCAGCTATGCTGGGAGCCCTGGCAGCTTTCGCAGCCATCGGCATTCCATCGGCAAAAGATGAACACTTGCAGCTTTTTTGCTGTCACTTGCTCATCTTCATTGCCTCAGGTCACGCACGAAAAGAGCTGCTATTGCCACTTGGACGTCAGATTTTAGCAGATTTTTTTTAGCTGCTTTGGAATGCTTTGAACTTCGGGTGAAAAGTCACAACTATTGAACATACAAAACTGCACCCCCCTGTGCAAATTTAAGGCTACTTCTACATCGGACAAATGGGTGCTTTCCTTAGTGGCCTACAGTGACTTAGTCGCCGCATGGCTTGATAGAACGATGCAGAGGTGCGAGCAACCCAGCCATTTCTTGTGCTACCTCCAGCTATTCGCTGCAGGTGTGATGCTCTTCAAGACACCATGAGGCAACAGGTCAGAAAGTGCAGCGGATAGCACAGCCAAACAGCGCCAAAGTGCAGCGATTCGCAGCTCAAAGCCACAAGGCATCACAAGGCCATGACCAAGTCGAACAGGCGATGAATTTGCACCGTCTGCATATGTCTGCATACTCTCATACATTTTTGCAGCGATAGAAATGATTGTTCAGGGTATGACAGTGACTTTTGCAAAATGTGGTAGTGATTGTGTGAGAAAAGGCAACCGATCTACTTAATACAAATTATAAATGAAATTTATCTCAAGAGCACGCGAAAAGAATTGAGTGCATTTGCTTCAAATAGCATTTGTACGATGTATGTCTCACTGACTGACTTGGACCTTGTGCAAGGGAAAAACTGCACATTTCAGTGTTTTGCTGGTCTTCTGTCAATTTCCGTTCGCCTTTTTCGCAGCATGTGTTAGCACGTGCGAGCTCTCTGTCAGCCTGCCAGCCTGCCATCAGCCATAACCCCGGTGCTGACAGTTCGAGTATGACTTTCCACAACTTACGCAGACTCAGCTCAAGGAAGGCTCACATTTTGATTTGCCTCCTTGGGTTGTGACCATGCGACATGCTTAAGGCCTCCGCTTGTTGCAGTTACAGTTAGAGTGCACTCAAATTGGTTTGAGGAGTCAGATTACTCCGACAGTTGGAGTCATAAATATGCGTTGTGCCAGTGTGCCATGTGGTATGCTATGTGCTGTGTTATGCATTTTGAGAAGTCAGAGCAGGGCTGGATGTGTGCCATGACTGACATGTTTCGCGTTGATTTGAGTGGCCGACAGGTCCTGACATTGTTGTCCTTGGGCCTAGCCCATGGATTTGGGAACGCAAGTCAAGGCATTCTGGTGGAACGGGAGTGTAGCAAGAGATGTGAACTTGTTTCTAGAGAGGTTCAGTTTGCAAGAGCAGACATTTGCCACGTCCTATTCATGAAGTGTCATGGCCCGCGATTGCTGAATGCATGACATGAGTGACATGACACATGTCGCATCGTCAGTGGTTTTTGTCTTTTGCATCTTTCACAATTCTTTGCAGGAGCCGTCCATCTTGGCGCAGCGCCAGAATCGAGAAACGTCGCCCGACACAGGCGCTGTGTTGGCCCGACTTGATCAACTTGGCCTGTTGCGGGGCACACGAGCCTTTTTCACCTCATGTTGCTCGTTTTAGGTTAATCCATCTCTATGAATGTTGCTCGTTTTTGCCTGTAGTCCAGCCACCTGTCTCGATAGATTTTGCTGCCATAGCCTCTTAATTATATTTCTTTCATCATATTTGTGGCTACCTGTTCGCAAAGGCCTTGCAAACCGAGACCTGTTTGTTCACACTTGGTGGACGGGCGAATTGATTTGCCAGAGCCCCAACATACTGAGTCTCGGATACCCTCGGATACATCTGACCAGGGAAGCAAGGGGCATATGTCCATGGCTCTTGGTGCCGGTTTGGTTTCATGAAATGCCTAATGTATCATAATGTATCTAATGTCATAATGTCCATACATTCTCCAGGAATGCTTTGGACCGCGCGCAGGCGCAAGAGAGTTTCGATGCCTTTGTTTTGCATTGCATTTCTGAAAGCGACAAATCAATCTATGTATTGATGGTGCTTTACGTCAATGGACACATATGGAATTTAGAGCCTCTGAAAATCATCCACATCATAGCCACACATATATCATCATATATCAATCCATCTCACATATCTCACATCCATAGATATCCATAGTCCATAAATGTCCATAATTTCAACATATTTCAACGTATAGCCCCTTCCATCGCGTCTCGCAGGGATGGGCCTTAGCAAGGAGCTCCGCGGATCCGTCCCCGGTGCTGATCTTCCTCAAAGCTCCCACGTCTGGGACACCCGGGATGGAAATCCGTTTTCGACATCGACGATGACATCGACATCCCACGGGAAATCACGGGAAAAAGGGAAAAAGAATCCAAAGGATTGGAATGATTAGCTTTGAGTTTGCAGTGCTCAAGCCAAACATCGTCATATATTGTCATGCTTCACAATTTTTCAGTTTTCCATATAGTTTTCCTGTTTTCAGTGCTATATGCTGAATTTTATTTGATCGTTTTGTTGCGATTTATTGTGCTTCACATGACAACCGCATTTCACCGAGGTTTGTCTCGCAGATCGTAGTGCATTTGATTCATCAAGGACATCCAGGCACAGCATCACTCTATCACTCTGTCACTATGTACTGACTGTCTTCATGCAAATATTCCGCATGCATCTGACACGCATTCTTTTCCCATACACTTAATGTGATTGTGACATCTCCAAGACTACTTTTCTTAAATCATTTGCGACCAGTGGCAACGTCATATACGTCATATACGTCATGTTTTGTCATAATAATATATATAATATAATAATATATCCACGCAATTTTGTGGCTCGTGTTTGCCATTTTTGCAATCTTGTGTAACTTGTGTCTTGACTTCATTGAATCCGAAATCGTCGAGTCACCTCCGTTTGAGGTGCTGGCCGCCTTCTCATGGTGTCCCTCTGGCAGAAGGCTTCAGGCACAGAATCGAGAGTGAGACTTCGACAGTTTCAAACGCTTCACTTTTTTCAAACTTTCCAAAGACCTTCCAAAGACTTTCCAAAGGCTTTCCAAAGATGTGCTTGTTTGATCATGTTTGATCTTCTTTGTACCGCTGACCCCAGATCCGTATCTGAGATCTGAGCTCCGGCAGGCCGTGAGGACCTGGGGCCTCCGACGAAACGCTGGAAGTGGGATCCAGAGCGCGGACCTCAGCGGGATTCTGCAGCACTCTGCAGCACCCGATCTCAATTTTCTCGGTGTTTAGTCGAACAGATTGTGCCGCTACTGTAGCAGCCACTGCTCGACACGTGATATTAGCCGTATTAGCCATTCAGCAAGATTCAACAAGATTCAAGTCATGCGACGCATCGAGTACACAGCAACTTTGTATCTGTTTGCATTGTGCTACTTTGGATTACCTTGTAAGATTCTGAACCTGCATTCCCTCTTCCTCATGTCCTTCTCCCCACGCCAGAAGAGGTCTAGAACAGATCTGTAGCGTTCTAGGGTTCTCAAGGTTCTGAAACTAGGAGAATCTAGGTGATGCTGGTCTCAGGTTGCCAAGCTCGTCATGTGCTTCTCATGAGTCTTCAGGTTTTAGGCTCCTAAAGGAAAGGGTTTTACCACCAGATTCCCAAGACAAGACTAGAACCAGACGGTTTAATGTGCAAGGGCAACAATATGCAACATTCCTCTTCTGGCGGGAACATTCTTTGGATTTATTCCATGCAACCTCTTCAACTCTGCAAACGCTCCTGAAAGTTTGTCCTAGGCGAGCCATCGCGTCTGGCAGCTTCCGAGTTGTCGTGCCTGTCCAGCAAGTGGCCTTTGCTGTCGCGGTGGCATGGGAAGGGCCACGAGACAACGGTCACGGCCCAGACCGCTCAGACCGCTCCACTGAATCCGCTTCGAATGCTTCGAATGCATCGAATATTTCGGACATTTGGATCTCAGAGGTCCTGGTCCTTCAAAAAACTTTGAGCATCAGCCAAGTGTCCAGCCTCGTGTCCCACGACGTGTCCCACGTCATGTCCCACGACGTGTCCCACGACGTGTCCCAGGTGTCACACCGGGCCACTGGCGGCACTGCGGACACTGCGGGCACTGCGGATGCTGCCTCCGAGACGGCCGGTGCTACCACCGCCCGCGCCCTGGGGGTGACGCTTCAGAGCGTGAACAGCGTCACCCACAGCGTGAACACGGTCAGCCTGGATGGTCCACCCAGGCTGCGAGCTTCCACGGCGTCCACGGTGTCCACGGTGTCGTTGTCAGAGACAGTGGAGCAGCTCGAGCACGAACTGCCCAAGAACGAGTTCACTACCTCTGTGCAGATGCACGTGCAGAATGAGCAGAATGAGCAGAATGAGATTGAGCGAATACCTCCAATTTATATGTTCTCCAGGACGGTGAAGCCAAGCAAAGAGATCGCGATGGACAAGGAGACAGAGAAAGTTGAGAATGTTGAGAAAGTCTTTGGTGTCTCAGGTGTGGCAACAGCTCACAAGAGTCAGATACCAAGTGCATTCGGTGCGACATCTAGTTCAGGTGCTTCGACACCCAATGCATCTGAATTTGAGAAGCCTTGGGGTCGTCCCGAAGACCCCCATTTCTTGAGTCCTTGGCCAGGACGCAGATCTGAGTTGGGAATGCCCTTGAAGACTTGTCTTGGGGCTTTGCTGGCAGCAGTTCTTTTGGTCCTGAAGTTCAACAAGTTTGCCATCTTCCAATGTTGCAAAGGGATCAGGGCCAATGATTTAGAGTACAACTATGATCGATTGCCCATTTCACGAGAAGACGCTGAGACCTGGTGGGAGCGCCCAGAACATGGCAGAGAGAGCCAGGAAAGCGAGACACGGGAGATACGTGAAACATGTGAAACACGTGAGACACGTGAGGCACGTGAGGCACGTGAGGTGTGTCGTGAGGTGTGTCGCACTGGAACAGCCGGAACGGCTGGAACGGCAGTGGTTGGAGATGAGCAGAGAAACGATGGAAACGATGCTCGGGCCAATTCCAGACGACCCAGTGCAACGAGTGCAACAAGTTGCCAAGCAGCTGCATCGGCCTCATCGGCTGCATCGAGCGCAAGCGGAAGCTCCCAAGCCCAGCAGCGCAGTCTCAGTCCCACCCTTAGTGTTTCCGATCGCACTATCTCAGAACCTGAACGAGAACCTCATGATGAGCCACACTCCGAACCATCAATTTCAGATCCGCTTTCAACCCTACCTTCGACCACTGTCTCAGAGGCTGAAGATGAGACTGACTCGAATCACTCGAAGTTTCTGTTAGAACGTTCAGAGCGCTGTGACACCCGTCCAAGTGACTCTGAACACATGATGCTCCTCTATGCATCTCCCTTGTGTTTTCGTGATGGTCGTGGTATGATACCCTTGCCGCAGATCCCCGTTGAGAAGGAGTGGGAAACGGTGTTAGGTGCGTACAACGAAGCAGCTCACATTCTCGCACGGACATCTTCATCTTCGCCTGGGGTATCCATCAGTGCACAGACGTTGACAGCTGGAAGTCTTCAACGTGCCATGCACAAAAAGTTGCAAGTTTCCTTTTCTCAATTTCTTAATAATACATAGTATAATATATATATATATATTGTAAATATCTTGTACATTACATATTGAATCAAGTGATCATCACAGTGGTGATGGGGTTGTCTTTTTTTGTATAGTGTGATATTGACTGAAATCTTTCTGTTTGTATACCCTTGTCCTGACCGGTGTAGACCTGTCAACCTGAGGTGCTATCACAACCTGGCATCCAGGTGTGCTGCATCTCAGCAGCCACGGGGTGAAAAACTGCTTGGTACTCGAAGATGGAGGAGGCACTGCCCATTTCTTCAGTTTCTAGGCCGCTGGTGTCTCATGGCATGCAGGGTGCCTCCAAGACATTCCAAGACTCAAGGTGTCTCATTGGTCCAGGGTAGTGATGTGGTGATGTGATTTGAAAACCAATCACCTTCGAACATTGCAGCATTGGTTCCATCACGTTGCAGCATTTTCCATTGAGGTTGTTCGATGCTCCGGGGCATGTTGGAGTTGGCTGGTTCATCCACCCGTCTGGTGCTGCTGAACTGCTGCTCCCTATCGAGTATGGGATACGAATTCGTGGCTGCGGGAGTTCCTCATGTGGTGTGCTGTTCCTGCGACCTGAAGGACTTGGCCTTCACCATGCTTTTCAAACGTGTTTTCTTGCATCATATTGATATATATATATATATATTGCATCATATTGATATATATTGCATCATATTGATATATATATATATATTATATATATATATATTGCACTGTTCAAGACCAACTAGACATGTTCAAAAGATGCGGCAGGACTCGGCGTCCACGGTGTTTGTGCGGAATTTCTACGGCTTTTTGTTCCAGGGCTTCTCTGTGCAGCGCAGCTTCAACGAGGCCGTCGTGGCGCTGCGCAGCCACTCGGAGGGACAGCTGCAGGCGGCCTCGCAGCACTTCCGGCTGCTGCCCGAAACCCAAGGCACCCGACCACCCGTGCCGAAACTGCAGATATCTGCAGAAGATACTGCAAAGATATGCGTTGATGGTCATTATAATATGATCAATATTGTTATCATTTAGAGTGATTTTATACTTATTCGAGATTTCATCATTTAATCAATGTCGCAAAGAAATGACTAGGCAAGTCAGAAGATTGGATTCTGGACCATTGCAAGTTGCACGCGAGGCCACGAGGAAGTGCTGTTCCTCCCAAAGGCCATGGACTACGACTCGGATTCCAGTGAGGTGCAGCGGTGCAATACATTCGATTCTCAAGCTTGAGCAGCTTCCATCAGTTCCCATCATCCTTCCCTATTCAATCGATGAGATTGTTGTTCCCGAATGTTCCGAATGGGGGAAATCTTAGATTGGGGTTAGGGGAGCCAACATCGAACCCAAACGTGGCATCCTGATGTTGACTCTGACATGTCACATCTGGCCTTGCAGGGACGTCTGCGTTGGAGGCGGAGACCGAGGCGGAAAGGGCTTGGACGAAAATCTTCAAAATATCAGTCCGCGTATCTTTTCAGAGCTGTGGCGACCCACTGAGCTATTTGATCTTCTAACAGACAGCTCCAAGTCCACAAGTAACCATCTCGATGATTTAAAGACGTTTGCAGTTTGCAAACATAGGAGCGATGAAGCAGTTGCATTGAATAGCTGCTTTGCGTTGCAGGCGAGCCAAAACCTGTCCCCAGGCAGGATATATTTTTTGAGAGTGCGGGATGAGTGCGGTTTTCAGTTCTGAAGACAGCGCAAGACTCGCACCTGCGTCGGTGTGGCTTGGATGTGGCAGGTTCAGCCTTCTTTGTGCTGGCGCGCACTACCATCTCTGCCAGAGGACACTGCTATGATACCATGTGGATCCACATGGATAAGTTGTGAATCCTTTTGCCTTGCTAACATCAGATTCACGAATGATCCAGGCCGTTTGCTTATCCGACTTGGTCTCACTTTGATTCGATGCATTCGATCCCACTTTGAATCTGCAGCCCTGGCTCACACAAACAGTCAAGTGCTGACAAAGTATGAGAAAGTATGACAAAGTGTGAATGACAAAGCTTGCATTGACTTGGGAAGGTGACAAGGTGACAAGGTATTAGGTTGCCAATGGTTGCCATGTCACAACACGTTTACATGTCATTGAGTCATTTACCTGTCATCTAAGAATCTATGCCATTTGGAATTTCCCTCTACGCTTTGTACAGAGCAGGGCGTGTTGTGACACCATGGAGATGGAGAAACCTCCGCCGCCACCGGACCTTGAAGATGTGTACAGGTCGAGCAGTGACGGAGATGGACTGAGATGGACTGAGATGGACTGAGATGGAGAGAGTGTGCTTGTGTCCCGATGTTGTCATTGGTTGCTCGTTTGACACTTGTCTTGATATGTCTTGATATCTTGGAATATCATGAAATCTGTGGGAATCTGTGGTGCCGAAGCACGGTGTCACATAGATTGGCGGCTTGGCGCAGGCCTTTTGAGGATCCTGGTCTGAGAACGGCAGTGGAAGTCCCAATGTTTGGCAGTGTTTCTGCGACAAGACAAAATTAGGACAGAAGCTTTCTTAATTATGACATGTCTCTTCACGTCACGTCTCTTTTTTCTTTTCTTACCTCTTCTTTCTTATGACGCACTTTTGCTCCCTAACTTTGGAGACATGTTTCTTAGTTGTGTCCATTTCGAGCATGGCAACGGATGCACACAGTCTTTTGTTCTCGTTCTTGCTGGTGATTTGCAAGAAGCAGATCTGAGATGCACAGAGAACACCAGTGTTCCAAGGAGAAGACCACCTACATGTGTGCGAAGCAGACTGCTGTATATGTATATCTATATAATATATGCTATATATATGTTTCAAAGATGTCGATTCTATTCGATTCTCATCGCTGTCATCCGCTGTCATCGGTTTCTGACAGGAAGCGACACCTGACTTCGAGCCCGAGCATGAACTCGGGGAACTTGGAGATCTGCTGGGGATGGAGCCGCTGGCTGAATTACTGCAAGACAGCAACAACCACAACAACCACAACAACCAGCTATGCGCACCAAACATCACAAACACATCACAAACACATCACAAACACATCACAAACACATCACAAACGCACAGATCTTCAGTAACAGATCTTTATGCCACTTCTAGGCATTCAATTTCACGGAATCCATCAGGAAGCAATACGAGACGTCTATTTTGCTCGGAGGAATGTGATGTTTCTTGCTTTGCATTGGCCATGCGTCAAAACATATGCGTGGCGCTGATAATATGATTTTGCTGTTGCTCTGTGGGTATCATGTTGTCCTTCCTCGTGAGCCATATCCTAAGGCTCTGTATCAATAGTTCAGATATAGAAACCCAGCAGTATCACTCTGTGCTGCTCTCACTCTTTGCAGTATCACTGTCAAGATGTTTCGATATTGTTTCACTTTCATTTCATCTGTTTTATCTCTCTTCTGCCCGGACTATCTTACAGAAGCGCTGCCAGGGAGGGCCTGCGCCAGTGGCCACCTCAAGCGACACAGAGCAAAGAGCGACACGGACAGCACAGGTCAAATCTGCACCGCAGAATCACAACAGAACCACAACGGAACTGAACTGTTCAGCTGATCGCAGCAGATCCCGGCTGTGCAAGATATAGATATTACATGCAACATATTACAACATATTACAACATATTACAACATATTACA